CTTTTCTAAAAACAACTAAGTGAGTGCTTCTCAAACGACACGGGTGAGACAGTGCGTCTCGTCCGGTCGGAGTATGTGCAATGTATCAGTCTTTAGAATTGAAACAAGGTTGGCACCCGGCCAACAGCTTTTCAAACGGCCACCCGGGCCAACAACTTTCAAACGGCCACCCGGGCCTAGCTGATCCCATCAGCTGCAGATTTTTCAAACATCGAACCCCTTTCCACAACAGCAATTTCACAAGCAGTAGTCAAACAAAACTACGCTAGGAATCACTTCACATCCGCCCATGACCGTGGGCACGGCTGTTCGAACAGTTTGTTAACCTCTGCAGAGGGGGTACACTTTACCCACACGACATTACTAACCCGGATCACCCAGCCCGTGGGGATCGGCCACGTCGGGAGACCTCCAAGCTTTCATGACAAGGCATTTCCAAAGCCGACACAGGTTTACCATATGCCGACGAGAGGGGTCCCAGACCAACAACAGGTTAGGTCCCAGACCATACTGTGCCAGGAAGCCCAGGGGTCCTCCCCGACACCACCCCGGCGAATCCACATGTCTCTCGGCATCAAGGCTCCCCTGATAAGCTAGTTACTCAGCCAGGGGTGTCCCATTCCACCCATGTGGTCGTACTTGTCTTATGTTTGGATGAAATTCCAAGGAAACGGTCCTTAAGTGCAAGAGCGGGAAACCGTACTCCCAGTACGTTCCCCGGTCCGTGGTTTTGGAAATTCATTTAGTTCGCAAGCACCGACCCAGGTGTCGGGTTTTCCAAGTCTTTTGTAAAACCCTAGTTTTACCCAAGTTGTTAATCAGATTTTTAAGTTTGAAGGCGTCCGTCGATACCCGCACAGGGTGCACGAATATCGAGACGCAACTAGATGGTTACAAGGGGACATGACATAACAATTAACAAATGAAAGATCAAATGCAACAAATTAGGTAGGTCCGCCAATCTGCCTTGCAGACGGGACAACAGATTAAGTGCGATCCTATCAATGCATAATATTTTTCAAGCAACATAATTAAATTTCAAATATAGGCTCAAGATGTTCAAAGGTGGCTTGCCTTGCTCGAGATCTGGAGCTTGATCCTCGAAATCCTCGCACTGCGGGTCTTCGGGCTCCGAAACTACACGCGAAGCGGGGCAACTCAACAAACGGCAAAAAAAAAATAAAGCCCTATTGATGACCTCTAAGCGTGCCATTAGATAGATCTCGAGATTTGAGGAATTTTGGAAGTTGAACGGAGTCAAACGGATTTACGGTTGGGAAGATATTGAATTTCTAAGATTATTGGATTTTTGTCTAAAGGAAAAGGATTTAATTAAATCCTTTTTGGAAAAGAAAAGAAAAGAAAAGAAAAGAGGGAGGGAAAATAGACTTTTCTCGGGCGGCTAGGGCGCGGCCCAAGGGAAATGGAGCGGACCGGCCGAGCTAAATGGGCCGACCGGCCCAAGGCGGCCCAAGACGCGCGCGTGCGCGGGAGGGAGGAGAGAGAGAGCCGGTGGACCGGGCTCACCGCGCGCGGTCCCGGGTGGGACCCGCTTGTCGGTGACACGGCTCACTGTGCGGAGCGAGCACGCGGCGTACGCGCGCGGGCGGGGGAGGAACGCGGTGCATGCGCGCGGGCCCACGCGCAGCCTCACGGCTCGCGGTGGAACGCGCTCACGGGAGGGGCTGACCGGGGTCGGCCCGTCCCGACCTCGGCTGAGCTGGCACCGACGTGGCGCCTACGTGGCTGCCACGCGGGCCGGCGGGAGGTAGACGACGACACCGGCCGGAACGGACGACGGACGATAGCGGCGAGCGGCGGAGCGAACCACGGCGATACAGGCGAAAGCGAGCACACCGGGTGGTTGCACGAGACGAGGGGAAACGAGCCAACGGCTCGGATTCGCCGGAGGAAGCTTGACGGCGGCGAATCGCGGCGGCGGCAACCGGCGGGGAGGGAAGAGGGAAACGGCGACGAGGTCACGAAGGGCCGATTCCCGGCGGTGAGAGCATCTACGCGGCCACGGAAATCCGATGCTAGCGTCGGATTGGGCGGAGCTACGCCGAGCGAGGCCGGCGACGAGCGGGTGCTACGGAGCTCGGGCGGCAACGGCGGCGAGTACACGGCGAGCGACGGCAACGGTCGGGGCGGCGCCGGCTAGCTACGGGGAGGCTACTCGTGCTACTACCCGTGTCTAAGGGGAGGAGATGGAGCGAGGAGGAAGAACGGAGAGAGGCACTACCGTGCGGGTCGGGGTGCTGTGACGAGAGGCCGACGGCGCGGGAGTAATCTCTCCGGCCTCGGGCCGGGGAAGAGGAAGGAGAGGGCGCGGCCGAAGTCCCCTTCCACGTCCTTGCTCGTGCCGGCTCCTCCGACACGCGCAACGACGAACGGCGACGGCGAAACAGAGGGGCGGCAATGGCGCGGAGGTGAATGGGAGAGGAAAGGAAAAAGGGGGGGAGCTCGGGTTTATAGGATGGCAATGTCGGTTTGGGAACCGACTTAGGGCGGTCAAAGGAGAGGGCTAGCGCTCGGCGGTCGCGGCCAAAGCGGCGACAGGGAGGAGGGAGGAGGATGACGCCGGCGGGAGGAAAAAGGGGAAAAGAGGGAGAGAAAAGGGGGCTTGTCCCCTTGCCTCTTCGGGAAAAGGAGGAGGGAGCGGGGGCGTCGCGGCAGAGGGAGGAGGGAGGCTCTGCCTCCGTCCCTTGGAGGCTAGCGCGGGAGTGGCGGGACCGAGGCGATGACGACGGCGATGACGGCGGGGCGGTTTGGAGCGGCGCGACGACACGGGCGACAGGCGCGGGCTGGCGCGGCAGAGGGTGACGGCGGCGGCGGCGACCAGGAGGTCGGCCACTCGGCACGCATGCGCGGGAAACAACGGGCGGCGCGGCTGGGCACGCGCAATGGCTCGCGGGGCCGAGCGGTTGCAGGCGCGGCAGAGCAGCGGGGCCGGGTGACGCGGACGACGCAGACGACGCGACTCGGGCGGGGAACCACGCGGGCGCGCGCGCGCGAACGACGGCGCGCGGGGGCTGTCTTCGCAAGCGGGGAGCTCGCCAGGGAGAGGAGAAGGAGAGCGAGGGGAAGGGGCGCTCGGCGCGGCGCTCGCGCACACGCGCGCCGCCGCGCGCGCGTGCGGGGCGGAGCGGAGCGGAGGGAGAGGGGGAGAGGGAGCGCGCTGGGGGAGGGGAGAGGGCCGAGGGAGAGGGGAAGATGGGCCGAGAGAAATTCGGCCCATCGACCCCGGGGGAGGCAAAATAGACTTTTGCGGAGGAATTTGATTTGGAAAGATTTGGATTCGGATTTGAACTTGACGATAGATCGGGGATTTGAGATCTGAGATGGCACGGACACTAGACAACAAGCAAAGAAACAAATTTCACAATTAGGGTTTTTAAGAGATAATTTTTCCCGCTAGGCGCCATGACGGAACGGGCGCTACATAGATCCCTGTCGAGATTATTCGACGAGATCTCCCAGCGGCTTCGGCTTGAGTCCTTCGGCTTTGTAGACTACGGTGGGTGTGTTGACGCTATGATTCGATGATCCTAAACCCCTCTGGGGGTGTGCCTTTTATACCGTGAGTTGCCTTAGTCTCCAAGTAGAACTCGTAGACAATGAAACCGGCACGATATAGAACAGTCCCGGTCCTTTTCGAGTAGGACTCTGGTAGTCTCCAGCCCGTAAGGACATTTTCCATAATGTCTATATTTCCTTATCATGTACGAAAACATATTGTAGGATATGAGGTATGTCAATCCAGTATAATTGGTAAATCGTAGGATAAGAAGTACTCCCTCCATATTTTAATGTATGACGCCGTTGACTTTTTAACCAACATTTGACCACTCGTCTTATTTAAAAATTTTATGCAAATATAAAAATACTTATGTCGTGTTTAAAGAACATTTGATGATAAATCAAGTCACAATAAAATAAATTATAATTACATAAATTTTTTAAATAAGACGAAAGGTCAAACATTTGTAAAAAAGTCAACGGCGTCATACATTAAAATACGGAGGGAGTATGTATTATTTGTAACCTGATAAAATTTCCCATATGATTTGATTGTAAAAAAACAAGAAGTTATTCGTTCGTGGGCTGTGTGAGTCGGGGTGGTTGATTAGGCTTATGGGCTTTGCTTTGTTAACTGGGGTATATTTAGTTCACGTCAAAATTAAAAGTTTGGTTGAAATTAAAACGATGTGATGGAAAAGTTGAAAGTTTGTGTGTGTAGGAAAGTTTTGATATAATGGAAAAGTTGAAAGTTTAAAGAAAAACTTTGGATGTAAACTCAGCCTGAAGCTCGAGAAAGCATTGAAAATAGACTATCGAGGCTTACTGAGTACTTCTGACTACTGGAGCGGCGTACATCCTAAATATTTCGCATATGTTTTGGGTATGCCACAGTGCATACCAGGAACACACATCTGTCTCTTGGAATAAATTCCCATTAAATCTTCTAGGAAAGATTAATCGAACGAGAGCTAAAGGGTTAAAGAAACATTAGCCATTTGATTAATGTATAATGGACGGTTAAAAATATTTTGGTGTAGCTGAAAAAATCCAAGGGTGCATAGCAATTGACTGGGCCAGACTGATCACGTGCAAGTGGAACGCATGCACATCTCCCTGCTTTTCTGAGAAATCCTTGCAACCACACTGGTCGTATTCGTATCAATCAGGCAGGCAGCTTCGCCAACGAAGAAGCACGTGTGCCTAAGCATACATCTTCTTTTCCACTCCAATCTTCCAACTAATGAACGAATCGCGTGTACAGTACTCCCTCCGTATTTTAATGTATGACGCCGTTGACTTTTTAATTAATGTTTGACCATTTGTCTTATTCAAATTTTTTATACAAATACAAAAATACTTATGTCATGCTTAAAGAATATTTGATGATAAATCAAGTCACAATAAAATAAATGATAATTATATAATTTTTTTAATAAGACGAAAGGTCAAACATTTGTTAAAAAATCAACGGCGTCATACATTAAAATACGGAGGGAGTAAAATCTATAATCTATTTATATGGAAATCAGGCGGCCATTTAAGCAAACAGAGCAACGAGACAATAGTTTTAGCTATCATGACAGAAATGACTACCAGTGCCCTGCATCTGCAGGTGCTTGCCTTAACCGTCTTCCTCGTCTGCGCGGCGGCAGTGACACCAGCGGCGTCGGCTCAGCAGCAGCAGCTGCCGGGCTGCCCCGACAAGTGCGGCGACATCAGCATCCCCTACCCTTTCGGGATCGGCGCCCGCTGCGCCCGCGACCAATACTTCGAGCTCGAGTGCAACCGCGCCTACTCCCCTCCGCGCCTCATCGTGTCTACCCACCGGCAACATCTGGTCAACCTGTCCCTCGCCGACGGGGAGGCTACTGCCCTCATCAACGCCAGACGCCAGTGCTACAACAGCACGGAGGGTTTGATCGGTGATGCCAATAATTATGTCAACAAGGATATCACTCTTGTCGGCAGCAATGCCTACCGCTTCTCTGCGGCGAGGAACCGCTTCGTCGCGCTCGGCTGCCCAAACATGGGCTACTTCGTCGACACCTACGGCTACTACGTCAGCGGTTGCACGTCCATCTGCCGGCCATCGCAGGGGAATGGTGCGAGTGGTGCCTCGACCGGGGGATGCACCGGCGAGGGATGCTGCCAGAGCAGGATACCGACCAATACCGACTACTACGAGCTGTACGTTCAAACTTTCAAACCAGGGGAAGGGGACCCCATATTACGTGGCGGTACGACTGCTTGCCGGTACGTGTTTCTGGCGGAGGACAAGTGGATCGACACCACCTACCGCGGCCACCCGGACTTCGACCGAAACGACGACTTCGCGGTGCCCGTCGTGCTCAACTGGGCCATCCGGAACGTCGGTAACTGCAGCGCCGCTACTCGTAACATGACGGACTACGCGTGCCGGAGCGTCAACAGCCACTGCATCGACTCCATTGATGGCCCCGGATACCGATGCAACTGCTCCCAGGGCTACGAGGGAAACCCCTACCTTGACGGTGGATGCCAAGGTAAAAAAAATAACCACACCTCCCATTAAATAAAGGGAGAATTTGAACCATGCCACACAAATTTTGCAAAATTTATGATATACCACCCTGACCTACATGTCATTGACTCATGTGGGTCCTACATGTCATTGAGATACGAGTGGTATATCTTAAATTTTGCAAATATAGGGTGGCATGGTTCCAACAAACCCTTAAATAAAACTAGCATGGTGACCCGCAGATTGCGCGGCTAGCATCATTGTATTTTCTCTCATATAATAGCATATATGTTTTCTCATTATATTATTCAAATATATTAAAATGACAACATAATTTTAAATTTTGCAATAACTTTATAAACCTACTAATGTGTAATATTCATATTATATTTTATATACGTGTTAGTTATTAATTATTTTTAATATCAAATTTTAGTTATTTGTAAATTATATATATTCCTATATGGACTCTAGACTCGTCTTTTAATATTTGTTTTTTTAATTCCGAATTTTCTGTAAATTGTATTTCTATATAGACTCTATGCTCTTCTTCCCATATTATTTATTTTTATTTCAGAATTTTTGTTATTTCTAATTGTATTTCTATGTGGACTCTAAACTCATCTTTCAATATTCTTTAATTTTTAATTTCGAATTTCAGTTACTTCTAAATTGTATTCCTATATTGACTTTAAATTCTTCTTCTCATGTTTTTCTTAATTTCGAATTTTAGTTATTTGTAAATTATATTTTATACGGACTCAAAACTCTAATTTTAATTTTATTATGTTTATTCCAAATTTTAGTTAGTTTTAAATTCCTATATGGACTCTATACTCTACTTCTAATATTCCTTACTTTTTAATTCCGAATTTCTATTTTTTTTCTTAATTGTATTTCTATATGGACTCTATACTCTACTTCTAATATTCCTTATTTTTAATTCCAAATTTCTATTATTTTCTAATTGTATTTCTATATGGACTCTATACTCTACTTCTAATATTCCTTATTTTTAATTCCGAATTTCAGTTATTTCCTAATTGTATTTCTATATGGACTCTAGTCTCCTCTTCTAATATTCCTTATTTTTTAATTCCGAATTTCACCTATTTCTAAATTGTATTTCTATATGGACTCTAGTCTCCTCTTCTAATATTTCTTATTTTCTAATTCCGAATTTCAGCTATTTCTAAATTGTATTTGTATATATGGACTCTGCTTTTTCTTTTTCTTCGATTAATGTGAGAATTTTTAGGCCATGAGAGCGAACGTGGAGGCTCATTTTTCTATTCCTTTAATAATATAACTAGCATGGTGGCCCGCACAGATTGCGCGGCTAGCATCATTATATTATCTCTCATATAATAGCATATATGTTTTCTCATTATATTATTCAAATATATTAAAATGACAACATAATTTGAAATTTTGCAATAACTTTACAAAACTATTAATGTGTAATATCCATATTGTATTTTATATACTTGTTAGTTATTAATTATTTTTAATATCAAATTTTAGTTATTTGTAAATTATATATATACCTATATGGACTCTAGACTCGTCTTTTAATATTTCCTTTTTTTTAATTCCGAATTTTCCGTAAATTGTATTTCTATATAGACTCTATGCTCTTCTTCCAATATTATTTATTTTTATTTCAGAATTTTGTTATTTCTAATTGTATTTCTATGTGGACTCTAAACTCATCTTTCAATATTCTTTAATTTTTAATTTCGAATTTCATTTACTTCTAAATTGTATTCCTATATTGACTTTAAATTCTTCTTCTCATGTTTTTCTTAATTTCGAATTTTAGTTATTTGTAAATTGTATTTTTATACGGACTCTAAACTCTACTTTTAATTTTATTATGTTTATTCCAAATTTTAGTTAGTTTTAAAAATCCTATTTGGACTCTACACTCTACTTCTAATATTCCTTATTTTTTAATTCCGAATTTCTATTTTTTCTTAATTGTATTTATATATGGACTCTATACTCTACTTCTAATATTCCTTATTTTTAATTCCAAATTTCAGTTATTTCCTAATTGTATTTCTATATGGACTCTATACTCTACTTCTAATATTACTTATTTTTAATTCCGAATTTCAGTTATTTTCTAATTGTATTTCTATATGGACTCTATACTCTACTTCTAATATTCCTTATTTTTAATTCCGAATTTCAGTTATTTCCTAATTGTATTTTTATATGGACTCTAGTCTCCTCTTCTAATATTCCTTATTTTTTAATTCTGAATTTCAACTATTTCTAAATTGTATTCCTATATGGACTCTAGTCCCCTATTCTAATATTCCTTATTTTTTAATTCCGAATTTCAGCTATTTCTAAATTGTATTTCTATATGGACTCTACTTTTTCTTTTTCTCTGATTAATGTGAGAATTTCTAGGCCATGAGAACGAACGTGGAGGCTCCTTTTTCTATTTCTTTAATAATATAATAGATAGATTATATTTCTCATGTGAGTTTAAAAGCTAATTCCTGTTGATTTGGGTGATTTGCGAAGATATCAACGAGTGCGAGCGGCCAGATAAGTACGCATGCTTCGGCGAGTGCACCAACACGCTAGGATCGTACTCGTGCATGTGCCCGCGAGGTGCTCGTGGTGACCCGTCCATTCCACAAGGCTGCCTCGAAAAGGACAAGTTCACTTTAGCTCTGAAAGTAGTTACAGGTGAAAAATTATAACTGTCGTCCATCATGGCAACACCAATGCACCTTTTTTTCTCTCTCTCTCTCTCGCTCTAATGATTCTTCGATTTCTGATGAGTGACATCTTCAGGGGTCAGTGTTGGTGTCTTCCTGCCACTGCTCATGTACTTTTGCCTATACCTAGTTCTCCAGAAGAGGAAGCTCATCAGAACAAAGCAAAGATTCTTTGAGCAAAATGGGGGAGTGATCCTCCAGCAGCAGATGCACTCTGGCGGAGGTGCTGGTGGATTCAAGATATTCTCCACGGAAGAGCTTGAGAAGGCCACCAACAACTTTGCTGATGACCGTGTTCTCGGTCGCGGTGGTCACGGTGTTGTCTATAAGGGTGTCCTGGAGGACAACATGGTGGTGGCCATCAAGAAGTCGAAGATGATGGAGGAAGCCCAGACTAAGGAATTCGCGAGAGAGATGTTCATCCTCTCCCAGATAAACCACAAGAATATCATCAAATTGCTCGGTTGTTGCCTCGAAGTCGAAGTGCCCATGCTGATCTATGAGTTTGTCTCAAATGGAACACTCTACCACTACATACATGGCAAGGAACCCATAGCTCACATATCACTTGATACCCGTCTTCGGATAGTAGCAGAGTCAGCCAAGGCACTCTTCTACATGCACTCGTCTGCTTCACCGCCAATCCTCCATGGAGATATCAAGACAGCAAACATCCTACTTGATGACAAGCTCAACGCCAAAGTTTCAGATTTTGGGGCATCAAAACTAGCACCAGCTGATGAGGCCGAGATTGCAACGTTGGTGCAGGGAACTTGTGGGTACCTAGATCCTGAATACCTAATGACTTGCCAACTGACCGATAAGAGTGACGTTTACAGTTTTGGTGTCGTCGTGCTAGAGCTTCTAACCAGGAAGAAGGCATTGTACTTGGATGGACCAGAGGAAGACAGGAGTCTGGTGTCATGCTTCATCACAGCAGTGAAAGCTGGTCGTCATCAAGAGCTTCTGGACAACCAGGTAAGGAATGAGATGAATGAAGAAATGCTCACAGAGATTGCACACCTCCTGATGCGATGCCTAAGTATGAACGGGGAAGAACGACCGACGATGAAGGAGGTAGCGGAGAGGCTGGAGATGCTGAGGAGATACCAGCAACATCCTTGGGTTGAAGCTGAAGGTAATGCCGAAGAGAATCAGAGTTTGCTTGGCATTGAACAACGGAATTCAAATTACCAACTCAAGCAACATGATGTTCTTGATCTAGAAGAAGGAAGTACATATACATTTAGCTTGTAGATCATGTTTGTTTGTGTTAACCTTTTATAATCAATCAATAAATTCAGGTACAAATTCTTTAAAATTCTTTTATGTGTAACATGAGAACACATCTATGGAGTGCAATGAAAGAACCGCCAAGAAATTTATGTGGGCAGTAATTTTTTTTTAAGGGAAGACGGCAGGAGCTCTGCCAATTTCATAAAAGGAGGAGCAGACAATAGAGGTCGTTTTACAAGCCAGCCACGCAAGCTGAGGGCAAGCACATAGCTTGCGAGATTAAAAACAGATGGGAAACCCCAATCTTGAGAAAGTGAACTGCAACAAGAAGAAGAAAGCGTAGAAAACTCATCTAGGAACTAAGGGCTTCATCAAACTCTTTGCACAAAGCAATGATGAAATCAACGACCTGAGCTACCGAGTTGTAAATGTCATTGAAAATCCTTCCATTTCTTTGCAGCCAAATGCCCCAGGTAGTGTAGATGAAAAGGCCGTCAAAATTACGTCTTTGTTCCTTAACTAGCTCCTTCCTGCAAGCCTCCCACCAATCTAGCAAACGTCCCGGAAAAAGAGAGGGTGAAGGCATGTGTAGGCCGAGCTTGTTCCACATGGAGCTCCAAACTTGTCTTGCGAAGGCACAATCCATGAGTAGGTGATTAGCCGTTTCTGGTTCAATGCCACAGAGGGGACAGATCTCACTGTTATCCCAGCCCCTTAGTTGAAGTTTATCAGCGGTGAGGTTTTTTCTGTGAATCATCAGCTAGCCAAAGAATTTGCATTTATTTTCCATTTTGGCCTTCCAGACGAAAGTTGATCTGTTGTCCTGTATACTTCTTAGAAACTGGATCCTGTAAGCCGAGCTAGCCGAATAGCAGCCATTCGGGGTCCATCTCCATGATATGGAATCCTCAATGCCATCCTGCAAATGAATTTGCTGCAGAGAGTGCCAAAGAATGATGAACTCCCTGACTTGGACTGTGCTTTTCATTCTCTGCATCTGACGAAGCCAGCGATTATCGCCAAGTTCCTGGGCAACCGTCCTGTTTTTCCTGGATGCGATCTGAAATAAGGATGTGGCAATATCTTTAGGAGCTTTACCTTCCAGCCATCGGTCATGCCAGAATTTGACTTTGTTTCCATTTCCTAAGGAGATGACGGTGGAGGCCCTGAAGAGTTGCTTATCTGTTTCATCACAGGGAAGGTTTGAGCCCTGCCACGGTTTGTCCTGAGCTGTCCAATCATACCATAACCACCTCAGTCTGAGTGCACGACCAAAGAGTTCCAAATTAGTAATGCCGAGTCCCCCTAAATCTTTTGGTCTGCAAACCCTCTTCCAGTTGACTAGACAGTGGCCTCCATTAGCCTGCTCAGAACCTGTCCATAAGAAAGCCCTGCGAATCTTGTCCATCTTTTTCTCTGCCCATTTCTTGAGGGGGAACACCGTGAGGTGATAGGTTGGCAAAGCTGAGAGGGTAGACTTGATTAGAACCGCTCTACCTGTTTTGTTGAGAAGTTTTCCTTTCCAGGTAGGAAGGCGAGCAGCAAATCTATCAATTAGGGGTTGAACATCAAGCCTCCGAAGCTTTCTGATGTGCAGAGGTAGGCCGAGGTAGGAGCACGCGAATTCTTTCAACTGGGCTGGGAAGGGGGAAAGAATATCCTGGAGGTCCAGATCTTCACATCTGATGGCGTAAACCTCGCTTTTTGTTAGGTTAGTGATCATTCCCGTTGTTCGTCCAAAGTGAAGGAGGATAGCTTGCACTGCCTGTATCTCATCCTTGATCGGCTTGGTGAAAATGACAGCGTCATCTGCATATAGAGCCATGTTAAAGCGGGCAGTTCTCCTATGAAGGGGCTGCAGCAAGCCTTCATCCTGTGCAGCCGCAAGAAGGTTTTGAAGTGGGTCTATAGCTAGAATAAAGAGCATCGGAGATAACGGGTCACCCTGCCATAGACCCCTGCCATGCATGAAACTGTTACCAGCTCTTCCATTTAGGAGGACATTAGAAGAAGAAGAACCAAGAATGGAGCAGATCCAACCTAGCCATCTTCTACCGAACCCCAGCGTCCTAAGCCTGTCAAGAAGGTAAGGCTAGCTGACTGAGTCGAAGGCTTTGGCAATGTCTAATTTGAGGAGAATTGCCGGGGTCTTGGAAGAATGGAGCTCTTTGACCAAGTTGTTGACGAAGAGGAAGTTGTCCTGTATGTTTCTTCCTTTTATGAAAGCGCTTTGGTTGTGGGACACAAGCTGTTGAAGTTTCGGAGCTAATCTGTTTGCAAGGAGCTTAGAAAAGAGTTTTCCAAATGCATGGATGAGGCTTATGGGTCTGAATTCACTGACACGAAGAGCATTCTCTTTTTTTGGAAGCAAAGCAATGTAGGCTGAATTCAAAAGCCATAGCCTGCGTGATATCTTCCTGAATGATGTCCCAACATTTTTTAAAAAAGCACCTGTGAAGCCATCTGGACCTGGGGAGTTGTCTGAACGGGATTGAAAAATTGCACTTTTGATTTCTTCAACTGAGAAAGGTGCTTCTAGATCAGCGAGGTCAAGGTTGTGTTCCTGTAAGAAGGAGGGATTGATCACAGAGGTTCGAGACCTATGTTCTCCCAAGTGCTGCTTGTAAAAGTTGAAAAGTTCTTGTCCTTTTTCTTCATGAGAGTGAACCATCCCGGAGTCTGTCAGGAGGTGTTGTATGAAGTTTTTCCTTCTTCTCACGCTAGCTTTGATTTGGAAGAACCGAGTGTTTGCGTCACCTGCTTTGATCCACAATTGTCTGGATCTTTAACGAAGTCGCACCCTGTCTAGGGCTGCCAGACCTAAGAGCTTCTGCTTAAGGGATCTTCTGAAAAGGATCTCCTGAGCTGAGAGGTTCCTCTCTTCCTGTGCTAAGTCTAGTCTGAAGATCAGCTCAGTAGCTATCTCCATTCTCAACTTTAGACTCCTAACTCTGCATCTGCTCCAGTTTCTTAGTGCTTTCACTGTTCGGGCTAACTTGATAAGAATTCTTTTCAGGGCATCAGGCGAGTGGACCGGTTTTGACCAGGCAGACTGCACAGTTTCAAGGAATCCTGGGAGCCTTATCCAGTATTTTTCAAACCTGAAAAGGTTGCATTTAGGCCTAGAAGGGTTTGCAGTTAGCAGCAGAGGACAATGATCTGAGACCATCGTAGAGATAGCTGAAAGCAAGCAATTTTGGAACCTTTCTTCCCACTCATGTGAGCAAAACACCCTGTCAATTTTTGTTAAGGTTGGTATTTCTGTTTCGCTGGATCAGGTGTATCGACGGCCATTTAGTTTTATTTCAATAACTTCCAACATGTTTAAAGCCGCCCTAAAAGACTGCATCATGCCCCTGTTAAGATTGCTGTTATTTTTGTCGGAGTCCTGGACAATGAGGTTGAAATCATCTAAGATCATCCACTTTTGATTTACTGTGTTCTTTGTTTGCTTTAGTTCCTCAAGAAATTCTCTTTTCTCATTGTCTGGTTGTGGTCCATACACCCCTGTTATGCTCCAAGCCAAGACATCTTCTTTTTCTTTTAAGTTTGCCGTGATCGAGTAAACACCTGTTTGCACACTTTCAATCGAGTATTTTGAGTCAGACACCGCCAGCAGGATACCTCCTCTTGTACCTGTAGCCGGCAGGAAACAGAAATTATCTGCAAACGATGGACCTAGAACCTGTTGACTATTGCTTGATCAAAGAACTCTAATTTAGTTTCCTGAAGACATACACAGGAGCAGTTTATGTCCATGACAAGGTTTCTGACAACCTGCTGACGGGCCGTGGAGTTTAAGCCTCTAACATTCCAACTCAAAATGGCACAGTCATTTGTAGACATTTAACGGGAGGGGCACCTGCAGTATCCCAAGCGGATGGAAGAGCACAACCTATAGAAATGGTGAGGCTTGAAACATAGTAGAGAAGCAAAACACAGTCGCAGGGAGAGATGAGGTAGAGCTTGGCCGGTAGAGGCAACTGAGCACTTCATTTTCTGCAGAGACATAACCTGGATACATAACTGAAGGACCATCCTTACTAGATCGAGGTCTAACTGGGTACAGGGGGAGCATGAGGCACAGCATAGAAGAACAAAGCCAACTACTCGAGCTACAAGAGCTCCAAAAGAAACTAAACTGCTCTAAACCCCTCAGGAGAAGCAAACAACCCATTTCAGTACTACAAAGACTCATGATAGCAAAAAGGAACAGCACATCAACAAGCGGCGAAGCCAACTAAGTCTTCTTCTTGCTGTCACCAATGGCGCAGCCGGCCACCAGAGCAGAGAAGGCATCTATGACCTCCTGAGAGAGAGGCTGCTTGAAAAGCTTGACGTATTTGGCCATTGCGTCCTCAGTCTTCTTGCCGTCCTCAGGGAGCAGGCCAGCCTTCTTCATCAGCAGCTCATGAGCGAGGTCACCTTGCTTGGCCGGAGAGGAACGAGCGGCTGCCTTCTTGGCCAACCGAGCACTCTTGCGGCCCGCCTGGCTAAGACGGGTCGGGATCTTCTTCAAGAGCTTTCCCTTGGAGACCTGGCGCGTGGGAGTTTTGAGCAGAGGAGGCTGCACCGCCGCGAAGGCCTGGGTCAGGAAATCTGCAAGCTTGTCTGGGGAGATCATCAGAGGCGACTGGGAAGGCTGAGATTGGGCAGCCTGAGAGACCTACACCAGCACGGCGGACTGGGACGCCTGGTCAGCTACCAGCTCCTCCAGCATAGGGTCAGCCTCCATCACGAACTGGTTGGCCTGAAGAGGGGTGGCCTGGGTGATCGGGTCCTGTGGGGATGTAGAAGGGGGGCGAGACAGCTGGAAGCCGCCATCCTTCATCACTGCAGGAACCGACAGCGACGGCGGGGGGGATGACCTTCCACGCGGAGACCTCGAGCGAGCGGCCCTCACCGGAGAACAAGCTGCCCTGCGGTGACCACCCCCGTAGGACCCACCTCTGTTCTCCGAAGACCTGGAAGAGGAGCGCCTGGGGAAAGCTGAGCTGCGAGCAGGAGGGACATCCCACCCCAAGGGGCGGCGGCGCTCCCTCGCTGGCGGAGAGCGGGAACGTGAGCGTGAGCGATCTCTGCCTGGGCCCGGGCTAGGGAAAGCCGGAGGCTGAGGGGGAAGAGTGCCATCCTTGACGCCAAGGCTCCAAATAAAATCATGATGCTTTGGGATTTCTTCTGTCATCGAGACAGGGGAGATGATTCCACTGGCCTGACTCCCTAGACTATTCATCCAAGTTGGCTCAGTTGGCGGCGGGTTGAAGTCGAGCACCTGATCGAGATGCACGAGCACCGGGTAGGCCAGCAGCTTGGGAGGGGAAGTCCTCTGCCGAGCCTCTCCGTCCAGGTCCCAGCGTGAGTCTGGGGAGCGCGGGGACAGCGGTTCTTCAAGCTCGAAGTGCACCTCCTTCGGGATGGAGTCCGGATCGTCCGCCCACAGCCAGGCGCAGAGGCAAGCCGTCTCGTTCTCCGTTCTTGGCTCATCAAGGTCCTGGATCAAGCATCCTTCATCAAGCAGTCCTGTAACTGTCTCTGCCGACCAAGCGTGGCTGGGGATGCCTTCAAAGCAGACACGAATGCTGAAGCACCATTTGACCAGCTCTGCCTGGACGCGTCTCGACCACGGGAGCACCGAGAGGTCAATGTCCTCCACAGCAAAAGGGCTCGCCGCAACCATCATGTCCCTGAGCGACCGAGAGGTGCAGGTGACCAGGTAGCCTCCTTTGGAGAAGACGACAACATTGAGGTCCTCACGAGGAACCTGAAACCTGGACGCCAGTAACCTGTTGATCTGTCTCATGTTCGTCACTGGGAGATTGCCTGTAACCTGTACCACCGCTGCGGTGCGAGAAAGGAAACTTTCATCCTCACGGATGGCCGACGTCCTGGGCAGGACGCGCTGGATGCTGTCCGGCCTGTTGGCTGGGTCCCCTGGGCGCGACATTGCCGGGAGCGGAGGGAAAACTAGCCGACTGGCTAGCGGAGGAGCAGGAGTGGGGCGAGGAGGCTGGACCCCCCCTATCCCGTCGTCTGTCTCCCGGGCACCAGCGGGCTTTGTGGCCAGAACTGCCACAGAGAATGCACCTCAGGGGGTCTCTACAGGAAGCAACTCGGTGGTCCTGAGCTAGATAGCGGAAGCAGTGACCCACCGCCTTCTTTTTAAAGAGCTCGAGGAAGCTGATCCTTGCTTGAAGAGGCTTGGACTGCGAGAGGAAAGGTTGGTGGCGACCAGTGAATGCGGAGGGAAGCTGAGGAGGAGCAGCGGATTGAAGGTGCATGAATGCCGAAGGCCGTTGGGCATGTCTCTTCCTCCACCAATGCTTTGGCTTCACTGTCTGCCAAACTTGAAGACGGGTGGCAGCCTCAGACGGAAGATTTTTTGGGATTGCTTTGGGAAGCTGCGAGGGCGAAGCCATTCATCTTGCTGCCTGAATGAAGCTATCCTGAGGAGTAACTCCCTGTACCTTCAAGCCGGAGGGCACAGGAGGAGTAAATCCTTCACCCACCCTGCGCAGTAAAACCGGGGCTGCTTGAAAACTTAAAGAACCTGTAGAGGGGGGAACCTGCTGGATCTTGGCTGGCACCAGGGGGACGCGCATCCGCTGCCTCACTGACCAGATTTGCCAGGAGGAATTGAGGGCGAAGCAGATCTGGCAGATCCCCATCCGAGTAGCTGCCAGAGAGGGAGCCGAGGCTGACTCTCTCTAGAAAGGGAGGATAGCCGAGGATGAAACCTGTGCTAGCGGGGGAGGACACTAGGGCCGGACTGGTCGGTGGAGGAGGGGGTGGGCGCCTGGGCCAGAGTGGCACCCGGCGATAGGGCGAGAGGAGGAGGAGGAGACGCGTCGACCATTCGGTCGTGAAGTTGCCAGGAAGATGACTGTCCATGTGGGCAGTAATGAAAAGCAGGAAACTGCATAGGCTATAGAGAACAATGATATGCAACTATGAGTATTGAATGGTTCATCAAATCCACCAAACACAGAGCTTAAGTTGTGCAACTAACAAACACCTTGGATAGGCAAAAGAAAAATCAAAAGAATTGTTGTTAATGCTCACAATGCCGACCCATTACCATCGTGTGCCGTGGTGACAGATAGAGACAGTTATAATTTTGGTCCTTTTTCCACTAACACGAGAAATATGGCCTGGATTTCGGCCCTAAAACAAAAACTCATGCCATGTTTGCGCCTTTTTTCTTGGTTTTAGTACCACCTCGGTAACGGAAGGCGGAGGAGGGCGCTTCGCTATGTATATAAGCAGGTGGGCTTGTTCAAAACAACTCTCGGCCTTTTGGCTAAAATCAAGGGTTTGTTTGGTAGAGCTAAAACTTCTAAATTTAGGTACAGGAGTTGAGTCTGGGGTAGAGCTGTTTAAATCCAGCTCCACTTTTTTAGTTTATTTTGTGAGATAACTCTGCTCCCATTTTTGGTAGAGCTTAAAATTGTTTAGTTTATTTCTAGTTTATTTTGTGATACAGCTCCTCTAGTTCATTTTGTGATACAGCTCTACTCCACTCCCTTTTTGGTGGAGCTGAAATTGTTTGGCTTTATCTTGTGAGACAGCTCCACCTAGCTCCGCTCCCATTTTTGGTGAAGCTGAAATTGTTTGGCTGAGATTCAGCTTTAGAAGAGGTGGGACTAGAGTTAGAGCTGTGCCATCTGTGGACCATATATCCACTGTGATATTGAATTTATTTTTTATAGGGGAGGGTCCATCACAGTGTATTGCTACTGGGGGCCCTCACGTGTCGCCTAGGCGTTGCACTGATGCCAGGGCCTGGCACACCCCCAACCAAAACAGCTTTTAAAAGTTTGATGATTTCTCATGCTGAACGCTGATCCTCTACGTCTGTTTAAGTTGTTTACTGCAGGAAGAGTTGAGTTGAGTACTGATGTTGAGTGCCATTAATTTGCTACGAAATTGGTGATCCATGAAACTCAAAATTTCGGATAGCTTTCGTCGTAAATTTGCTAAAAAATTGGTCACTGACCTGTTGACCCATGAACAAAAACTCTGCAAGAGTCTGCCCAAAATCTAGACATCGTCAGAGTTCAGACTTCAGATGTGTCCAACTCTTATAAGGGCGTTTACAATATGCGGACGTGGCATTCAGCCTCCACCCCAAAAACCGAATATTCCTTGCCACATCATCCAAATGCACAACTTCCTTAGCTCCTAGTAGCCAACATTGGCTACCCGTTCTTCGTCTCCGGTGGGACCCACAGGCGGGCTAGAGGAGAGAGGGGAGATGGGCAAGGCAGCAGACAGGGATTTGGATCGTCTGCCTTCGCAGAGTGAAGGCACGAGCATGCAGTCAGCCCCTTATCCACCATTGAAGTAATCCAACGGCTCACGTCGCATGTGCGCTTAAATAGACGAATGAATTTGTCTGTGAAAGACCACGATGGTTCTATCGCAAAAAAAAAAATCCCACGATGGTTGTTTTGGTCTGGGAAGTGTACGCGAGCTAAAGAAACTTACAAACTATATTAGTGCTAATACACATGAAAAAAAATGGATGATATCACCAAATTAAAAATACAAGAAAACTGAAAGTTTCAAATAACAACACTAATTCATTACAAAGTAGTTCTCCATCTTTTTCATATTATAAGTCATTTGACTTTTTTTCTAGTCAAAAATCGTTAAGTTTGACTAATTTATATAAAAAATAGTAATATATAAAATATCAAATTAACTTTATTAAATCTAACGTTGAATATATTTTTATAATATATTTGTTTTGTGTTAAAAAGTAAAAAAAAAGAAGTTTGACTAGAAAAAAAAGTCAAGCGACTTAGGCCTTGTTTAGTTGGAGAAAATTTTTGGGTTTGGTTGTCACATCGGATATACGGACACATATTTGAAATACTAAACGTAGTCTAATAACAAAACAAATTACAGATTTCGCTAGGAAACTGCGAGACAAATTTATTAAGCCTAATTAATCCGTCATTAGTAAACGTTTACTGTAGCACCACATTGTTAAATTATGGTGTAATTAGGTTTAAAAGATTCATCTCACAATTTACACGCACACTGTGTAATTAGTTTTTTTTTCCACATGAAAAGTTTTTATTTTGGGAACTAATAGAGGGAGCATGACGCAATGTCAAGTCACATCATAAAAAGCAAAAGAAAAATTATGATTAGAGCATAGGATTGATAAGAAAAATTACAAAATTTATAATGCAAACATCATTGGTATTCGGACTGAAATATAGCAGTAGTGCTTCGTGGACTTTGACAGACAGATATCCATTCAGACGTGCACAGGCGACGTGAGCCATTGGATTATTTGAACGGTGGATGAGGTGCCGACTGCACGCTCGTGCCTTCAAGCCGTGAAGGTAGAGGATCCAAATCCAGCAGACAGGGAGAGAGGAGCGGCAGCGCCGCCCGGCATCGTCGTCGCTGCTTAGCCCGCCTGGCGGCGCCTCCTTGCTGACGAGCCGCCTAGCCCGCCGTCGCCGTGCACAGCCGACGAGCCCGCCGTCGCCGTCCGCGGCCAGATCCGGCGAGCATGGCGGCCGGAGGAGGAGGGGACGCGCGACGGCCGGAGGAGGGAGGCGTGGCGGCTGGAAAAGGAGGGGAGGAAGTGCGGCGGCCGGAAGACGAGGACGGCGACGGGGCTCCGGTCGGCAGCGACCTCCGCGAGGACGACCACGCCGCCGCTCGTCGTCCGCGAGGAAGACGCCGTGAGGAAGACGCCGACGCCAGATCCGGCTGGATCTGGCCGTCCCATCGCCGCTCCGCCCGGCGCCATCACTGGATACGCCGGCGCTCCGTCCGGCGCTGGGATCGCCCCGCCGCCTCTCCGTCAACCGCCTGGGCCGCCGCGTCGTCCGCCGCCGCCCCCCGTGTCCGCCGCTCCATTCGCCGCCGCCTGTGTCCGCCGCTCCATCCGCCGCCGCCGCCTGGGAGAGAAAGAGGGGCGCCGGCGGCGGAGTAGAGGAGGGGACGCGCCGGCTGGGTTCGGCAGAGAGAGAGGAGAGAAAAAGTTAGGAGAGATAACGGGTGGGACCCAGTGTAGGGAAAAAGTAGACCACATGCATTGTGGAGCTTGTTGCTTATGAAGTTTCTCAGTCTAGGTGGCAGTTTTGGCTCCTCAAAACTACGTTACGTGACGCATTGTGACTGCCCTAAGTATCATCAGATTTCGCTGTTCTAGACTTCAGATAACTTCAATTTTACCGAAACATTTAGGCCCTGTTTAGATTCCAGCTTTTTTCTTCAAACTTCTAACTTTTCCGTCACATCGAACTTTCCTACAAACACAAACCTTCAACTTTTTCGTCACATCGTTCCAATTTCTTCAAACTTCTAATTTTGGCGTGGAACTAAACACAGCCTTAGGCCCTGTTTAGATTATAATTTTTTTCTTCAAACTTACAACTTTTCCGTCACATCGAACTTTCCTACACACATAAACTTCCAACTTTTCCATCACATCGTTCCAATTTCTTCAAACTTCTAATTTTGACGTGGAACTAAACACAGCCTTAGGTTCGATATGCTCCGCGGTAACATTACTACACTGAATACTAGGAAATCGCCTCACAAAATAGGAAAAATTACAATGATATTCAAATTTACATCCAGAAACCCAGAATACAAATCAAATCCATATTTGCATTTACCATTCCCTCCATCTCCATGGGACTTTATTGTTCTTTTCAGAAAGATTAATACTAATCAAATCAAATCCATATTTGCCGTTCAATGCTAGCCTCGATGTGCCTGGCTGAAAGTTCAACTATGGTCGACATTCCGTCTTCTGTTGGAACTCACAACGGCACGTTCGGATTTAAATCCCCGCCAAAAAAAAAAACCTGGCAATCTGGTACTCCCTCCGTTTCAGGTTATAAGACTTTCTAGCATTGCCTATATTCATATAGATGTTAATGAATCTAGGCACACGTATATGTCTAAGTTCATTAACATATATATGAATGCGAATAATACTATAAAGTCTTATATAATATGAAACGGAGGAAGTAGCATCTATTACCATGGTCTCTACTACGGGGATTTATGGGGAAATATTCCAAATCTTGCACGGCAGAAGCTATTGTCATGGTCATTGGTCGTGCCATCATGTTTGACTTAACACCACCGGTGGTACCAAAAAACGCAAAGAACCACTTGTCATACTTGCGACAGCGATGGCATGTGAACGAATTCCGCCGAAAAGAACCTCCAATCTAAACATTCAGCGTTCAAATAGTTTTGAACGACAAATTCTCGACGTCTTCAATTCGTCCTCGCGTTCAATAGTGGGCCGTGACGTATAGAGACAGGCCTTCTCCACTAGTAACAGGCCAACAGAAATAAATACGGCCCATATTTCGGCCCCGCAAAAAAAATACGGCCCAGATTTCGGCCTCAAAAGGAAAACTCCGGCCCATGTATGCGTTTAAACGATAGCACCTGACGGGATCTGGAGATGGATGGATGGTTCTTCGGTTTAGTACCACCTCGGAGACGAAGGACGTACGAGGGCGTTGCGCTCTGTATATAAGCAGGCAGGATTAGACGAAGCAACTCATACCTTTCTCGGCCTTTTGGCTAAGATCAAGTGTAGTATCTGTTCTTATCAGTTTAATATCTGATACGTGGGCCATGTGTCCACTTTGATATTAAATTTATTTTTTGTGGGGGAGAGCCCACCACAGTGGCTTGCCACTGGGGCCCTCACGCGTCGCCCAGGCGTTGCACTGCTGCCCGGGCCTGGCGCACCCCAACCAAACCAACACAATGTTTGATCGAAATTTTTAGTTTTTGTACTTTGTTAGTTTCAATCGTGTAGCTGGTGAATGCGGTAGAGCATTGAAAAATCCATCAGCAAGGAAAACAATTGTCTCTAGATCTGCAAACGGATATCTGAGTTCAGATGCCCCTCCAATTCTGAATAATCGATATACCTTCATCAGATATCTTTTTATCTATGATGGGTGTTGCCTGCTTGATGTCCAGCACGCACAGTCTTTCAAAGGGAACGGTGCCGACATGATGCCCACCAAGTGCTCGACGCCGGTACCAAGCTGTGGCATCACCAAGTCTGATGCCGAGAGCACACCTACCACACTGGAACATGTGTTCCTGGCCACCATGAATCCGTCTACACCCTCAGCCGCATCAGCAGCAGCGGTGCCACCGGTTTCCCTCACCGCGACCAAGGAGGATGAGGTTGACATGGGCAAGGTTGAGGACAAATCAGATAAGACCTTGCATGATTTGTGTGTAGAGATAAAGGAGATGATCAATCAAATGCTTGAGACATGCCGCAACAGTAAAGTGGAACCAATTGTGGGCGATGATTCCACCGGAGTGGCAGTAGTGCCATGCTCTGTTACTAATTCAGTTCCCATTGCATTGGAGGCCAGTCAAGAAATTGTTGCCGATGAGAGTGATGGCAACAACTTGGCCAGGGAAGAGGATTGTGTGGAGAAGACCACAGAGGGACCAGGCTTTGGAGAACACTTAACTTTTTGTCTGAGCCCAAAGGTTGATGTTCCCATTCTTGACTTGATTGCTAATCAGGGCATGTCAAGATTTATTCACAAGGTGGATTTGGAACCTTGGCCAAATCCAGGGCCTTGTCAAGGTAACGGAGGCATGGTGGTGAAGATCTCACGATATGGGCCACCTCATCCTCGAGCTAATTACAAAGATGTTTGTGCTAAGCAGCAACTTGAACCCTGGGCTGATCTATGGTTGAATCATGGCAACGAAGGTGTGGTGGTGAAACTCTTACAGCCCTGGCCACCACCTATTCAAGCAGAAGCTAAAGTTGAGGTTGGAGTACTACTATTATTCGGTGAGTCCCACAAAATCTCCTTGGACTACAGATTCACCAAGTTCATGAGTAGAACGATTATTGTCAGTGCTGGCTTGTTGCAAATTCTGGTTCCTGGATGGTGTATTGGCTATGCGCTGCATCTTTCTAGCACATTTTGGAATTCCTACCAGCATATGCAGCTTTTAGCCTATGGTTGGTCATTTGATGATCATGTTTTGTTCCTCCCACTAATGCTAGTTTTCTGGCCAATTCATGACACCTGGAGTGAATGCTTGCTTGGTTATACTAATGAAGATCACGATGTCCAAAAGGTTTTGATCTGTGACAAGAATTTGCGGGGAGTGCTAATTCCTACAGAGCTCAAAATTCCATGGCCACCACCAAACTTGACTGTTCAAAAATATGGAGTGTTGGCTAAAATACTGTTACCAACAGGATTGATCAAGTTGAAGGTTTTGGATAACATATTGCGTGCACAACAATGGTATTGCAGCTCCTTGGGAGAATCACTAGAAGATAGCACCAATGGTTTCACCAAGTTGCAGAGTGTTGAATTGGTTCAGTACAAGGTTGATTTTGCTAGTAGCTCCTTGCTTGATATTGTAGTATTGCAAGGGGATGATTCTCTGCCATTTCTACTTCCTGGAAGAGCGGTTTTAGAATATCAAGAATTTGTGACTCATGTTAAGATGACAGAACAATCAGTTTCGAAAGGTGAAACGGATGTGCCGAAGCTTTGTGTTCTCAAGTTCAGTTTGGACAAATTTTCAAATTATTCAGTTGGAGATACAATGATTGCTGTGTTGCTTACGCAAACTTGTGTACAATTAGTTCCAAGCTACAATCAGTCTTTATCTGGGAGCAAAAATCACTACAAACTCTTGATGACACAACATATGTCAGTCATTGCAAACTATGAAATGATTTGGTGGAAGTCAGAGCTTGGTGGGGGCAAGATTAGCTTGTGTGCATCATGGAATTTCTGGGATCTGTGTTTTTGTTGCAAGCAAATGTCTACAGAAATTATGGCTGTTGGATTATCTGGTGTGAAGGTATGGCTGTTGTTTGCTATATCAGAGCTGTGGTTACAAAGAAAACAGCTAAAACTTGCATTATTAGAGGAACATATCAAGGTGCTCTGCAATTCTACTATGTTATTCTTCCTGCAAGCGACAATACAAGCATGACTACAGGACTATCTTCGTTCCATCTTGCACAATGCCCTTACATATACTTCTGACCAAGAAAAATATGATGCACAGAACAGAAAATATGATGCACATATGCTCCGTGGTAACAGTTCACTGAATACTCGGAAATTCCCTGCAACATAGAAAATAAATACAATGATATTCAAATTTACATCCTGAAGCCCAGAATACAAATGAAGGCCATATTTGCATTTGCCGTTCCCTCCATGGGACCTTATTGTTCATTACAGAAGGGTTTTACATGTGTAAGAACAAAATATAAATGCCTACTACACTTGCACAAATAAACAATCTCAGAGCCCTTGTGTTTCCTTTTTTTTCCTTTGTTTTTTCCCTGTTGCTCTCTGTTTCCCATCGCAACAGACGAATTCGTATTTTTATCTTGATTTTATAGGTAAGCACGTTTTGGAACGGGATAAATCAGAGGCAGGTGACCCTTCTGCTGCATGCATAGGACCGCCTCATTCAAACTCTTCCTCAGTGGAGTGAACTCCAAACCCAAATCCTTGAGCCTCTGGTTCGAGAACTTATACGGCTTCGCCATCGGCTTCCCATCATCCTCACACCTGAAAAAAAAATCCAAGAAACACACGCATGAGAATTTGAGATCGATCGATTGCATCTCACAAGAGCAATGAAGCAATGCACATAAGCAAATCAATGGCTAATATCTGCATACTTTGCAGTGGCAGGGTACCGTGGGAAGAGCTCCCTGAGCATCCGGAGGAGCTCGGCGCGGTGGAGCACGGTGCCGATGCAGAGGTAGCGGCCGCGTGCCTCGGGGCGCTCGTAGACGAGGACGTGTGCGCGGGCGACGTCGCGGACGTCGACGTAGGCCGCGACGGCGTTGGGGTAGGACTTCTTGGTGCCCATGAGGTAGCGGGCGACGTGGTTGGTGCTGAAGTTGAGCGTCTGCTGAAGCATGGGACCCATCGTCATCGACGGCACCACCACCGCCAGCTCCAGCCCCCTCTTCGCCGCCTCCTCCGTCGCCGTCATCTCCGCCATCATCTTGGCGCAGCAGTACAGGTTCTGCATGTACGACGAGAAAATTTGCCGAGATGAATTTATTGTTCATGTAAGCAACGCTGTTGGAGTTGGTAGAACCGTAGAACGGAGCAGAGTAATGTGCTTACGTCTGTTTGCTTGCAGAATTCGTAGTCGCTCCAGCAGGTCTCGTCGAGGACGGCGTCGGGGCTCCGGTTGGGGTTCATGTGCACGGCGCCGTACGACGACGTGAACACCACGCGGCGCACGCCCATGTCCGCCGCTGCGTTGATCACGTTCCTCGTCCCCTCCACTGCAACCGGAACAAGGTCCTGCATCACGGAGCAGCATTAGTAAAAGTTGGAGGAGGTTAAAGGTGCCATTGTCGTCTCTTTTGGGCTCAGGAACCAGGCTAGTGAACTTACAGGGTCGTTAGACACCGGGGAGGCGACATGGAAGACGCCGTGGCACCCGCTGAAGGCGGCGCGGAGGCTGGCGGCGTCGAGGACGTCGGCGCGGCAGAGGGAGAGCCTCTCGTCGGCTCCCTCCAGCTCAAGCAGGTGAGCATTCTTGCTGTCAGCTACAGATACGCGCATGCAAGAACCGATCAATAAATCAAGCACAACACGCACCAAATTTATGCAAACACCGTGAACTAATAGTACTAGTACTTACCAGGATCCCTGGCTGTTCCCCTGACGTGGTAGCCACGGATGAGGAGCTCCTTCACCACCCACGACCCAATGAAGCCACCTGCTCCGGTCACACAGACCAGCTGCTTCTCGCCATTGTTGTTGTTGTTGGCCTCAAAATTGGACGACATGGTGAGAGACGCTGACCAGTTACTGTCACTAACCAAATGCTACTCTGAACTTGTGAGAGAACTTTCGATCGAGCTTGTGTTGGCTGCTGCTCGTATGTCACTCGAACTCCGTATGTTGGTGTGAGACTAGCGTGTCTGGACACGGCCGCTATTTATACCTGCAGAAACCGCGCGCCGCCATGCGACGGAGGAGGAGGACGACAAGAGGAAGATAGCTAGCGTAGGTTGGTCAGCAGGTGAGGGGTGGGGGAGGCGCAGCTGCGACCGCGCGAAACGGAGTGCCGTCGCCTTGTCGACTCACTGTTCGTCCATTCTTCAGGATTCAGTATTTCAGCTGCGCGCTCGCCCGCAATACTGGGCATCACATCGCAAGGCCGAATTCGCCGATGGGTTGGGGCGTGCGCGTAGGAGCAGTAGAGTATATTCCATTGCCTTTCTGGACGAGGGGATCACGAAGCCAACCCTGGCACGTAAACCGTCTCAGGTTTTCGCTCAACCTGGCGAATCTTCTCTCCAAGTCTACAACTTGTACTTTTTTAAAAAAAATATCTGCTGTCAGAACGACCGACGATTCGAGTCAGACTGGCACGATTGACTACTGTCCTTTTAAACCTGACGTTAATAGTGCTACCACTAATACTCCTCCTTTTTATAATGTAAGTCATTTTAGTATTTCCCACATTTATATTGATGTTAATGAATCTAGATAGATATATATCTAGATTCATTAACATCAATATAAATGTGGGAAATGCTAGAATGATTTATATTGTGAAACGGATGAAGTACTATTTTAATGTATAACGTCGTTGATTTTTTATGCAACGTTTGACCATTCGTCTTATTTAAAAAAATTATGTAATTATCATTTATTTTATTGTGACTTGATTCATCATCAAATGTTCTTTAAGCATGACATAAATGTTTTCATATTTGCACAAAATTTTTGAATAAAACGAATGGTCAAACGTTGGCCAAAAAGTCAACGGCGTCATACATTAAAATACGATAAAAACTATAGGACGGTATACCGTCTCAACGGTATAGTTTATAATTTATACTTACCAATCACTCACCGATTCTTTTTCTCTCTAAAAGCGTGTCATGTACTGTCCTTTCACATGACGGCTGCTGACTAGTGACGACTGACGAGAGGTCTCTTTTCTCCTACATTACAAAATAGCTATGAAATACTCTAGTACAGCACTACTTCTACACCTCTTTAGGTCCATATGGATCTGACACCTGCTTCAACTAGCAAAGTTAGAATTAAGCACTAGAGCTAGTAGCATGAGCCTAAACAAAGCATGTCAGCAGCACATGAGCAAGTTTGGCTGTACTTTCTGGCCTAGCTATGCATGGTCCATCTTTTTATTTGATTGTTGAATAGGAGTATATAACCCATAAATATCAGAATTAGTGGTATCACATCTGAAGTCTCGTGACATCACACCCTATATTTGGTATCAGATCCGCTACTAAGATGTATCAACCCGGTATCTAGGTATTGGATCCGATATTCATAGGTATTAAACCTAACCTAGGTATCGAATCCGGTACTTATAGGTATCAGACCCAATACCTAGATATTAGACTTGGTATTCATAGGTATCATACTCGGTACCTGGGTATGCGACCCAGTACGTACAGGTATCGGAACTGATACTCATAGGTACCAGATCAGATACCCGATACCCGGGTATCTAATCCGATACTCATAGGTATCATACGCGATACCGGATTCGGTACTCATAGGTATCAAACCTGACCTAGGTATCGAATCCGGTACTCATAGGTATCAGACCCGATACTTAGGTATCAGACTTGGTATTCATAAGTATCATACTCGGTACCTGGGTATCCGACCCGTTACGCATAGGTATTGGAACAAATACTCATAGGTATCAGATCAGATACCCGATACCCGGGTATCCAATCTGGTACTCACAGGTATCAGACGCGATACCTAGTTATCGGATCCGGTATTTATAGGTATCAGACCCGATAACTCGGCATTAGATCTTGTATTTATAGGTTTCATACTTGGTACCTAGGTATTTGACCCAGTACCTGGATATCAGATATCACTGGTGGAGAAACCGTCTTTGGTCGGTTGCCCGAAATCCACAATAGTCTCGGTTCCACTAAAAACCGGGACTAAAGATGATCTTTACTCCCGGTTGGTGGCTACAGCGGGCATATTTGATCTTTAGTCCCGATTGGTGTTACCAACCGGGACTAAAAATAATCTTTAGTCCCGGTTCTAAATCTGTCAGGCCTTGTCAGGCCCCCCGAGATCTTTAGTCCCACCAACCGGGACTAAAGATAGGATCTACCAACCGGGACTAAAGATCCCAGGGATCTTTAATCCCGGTTGATAACATCAACCGAGAATAAAGCGTACGCACAGCCCACGCACAAGCGCATGCGTAGCCCCTCTCTCTCTCTCTATCTCCCATCCTTATCTCTTTTTCTTCTCCTTCCTTATCTCCATCCTCTCCATCCTTCTCCTTCCATCCTCTCCCCTTGCTCTTCTCTCACCCCCTCTCCTCCTCCCCTCCCCCTCTTCCTCTTGCAGAGGCAGCCGACGGCGGCGGGATGGAGGCCGGGCGCAGGCTGGCGGCGGCCGGCCGGCGGCGGCGGGATGGGGGACGGCCGGCCGGCGGTGGCGGGATGGCGGCGGCCGGCCGGCGGCGTCGGGATGGCGGCCGGGCGCGGGCCAGCGGGATGGAGGACGCCCGGCGGTGGCCCGGCGCAGGCCGGCGGGATGGAGGCCGGTCGCCGGCGGCCTCGCCCTCCCCTCCTCCAGATCCGGCCGGAGGGGAAGCGGCGGGATGGAGGACGGCCGGCGGCGGCCCGGCGCGGGCCGGCGGGATGGAGGCCGGTCGCCGGCGGCCTCGCCCTCCCCTCCCCCAGATCCGGCCGGAGGGGAAGCGGCGAGATGGGTGGCCGGCCGGTGAGTCGATTTTTTTTTTATTTTTTTTTAATTTGTTGTTTGGATGTTTTGATCTGTGAATGAATCTATGAATCGATATTGTGAATGAATCTGTGATGTTGTGAATGAGTATGTGACTCGATGTTGTCAATGAACCTGTGAATCAATATTGTGAATATATTTGTGATGTTGTGAATGAATATGTGAATGGATATTGTGAATGAATTTGTGGTGAATCTGTGAATCGTGCTGTGGAGTTGTGATGTGGATTTGGGGTTTGATTTGATGATATACATACCACTCGATTCGGGAGAAAATAAAAAAGAAAAAAGGACCAGCTAATGGACTGCCGCTACCCTCTCTTTAGTCCCGGTTGATGACACCAACCGGGACTAAAGATAGTCCCGGTTGGTGTCATCAACCGGGACTAAAGATCGATCTTTAGTCCCGGTTTTTTCACCCGGGACTAAAGATACCCGGATTGGTAGTCCCGGTTTTACAGGGGGTTACGAACCGGGACTAAAAAGCACTTCTCCACCAGTGTATGATAATCTAGCATCTATGTATCACATACTAGAGTTTCTAAGATGTAGTATAACCAAGAGCCCAACATGACATATCTAATTAGAATCCATTGTATCCATATATAATCTAGGTAATTATTTGTCTGGTCTAATCCGTGCATGGTATAGGACACATGCAAATAGATGCAACCAATCTTAGACACATAGCTAGGCTACTAGGCTCTGCCATAACAAGTACCCTACATAACTAGGGTACGGGACTACTAGTAGCTATTACAGGGATTTGGTATGCACAACAAGCTAGTAGTACCTCCGGTTTTATTTACTAGCTAGGCTAGTATCAAAAGCAGGACTTAAGCATGCTGAGTACTAGCTAGCTGTCAGGAACAAAACTATACACTGATACACACAGCAAATGTGCGTGATGATAATCCTAGCAGCACGCGACATACTCGGGAGAAGCCGGCACGTGGGGCCGCGGCATGGAGGATAAGTGGTATACCGTTCAACGGTATACCGTTGTGTAGTCTTTCTCTAAAATACGGATGGAGTATGTTCGAGGGAATTTGACGATATTTAAAATTTATCATGGTTTATCTCGGTGATACGAGAGAAAAACATCAAACAACCGATGCTACCGCCTACGGTCTTGCGAATAAAAAGGTAAAATACCGATGGTGCACAAAATACATATAACTACGTAAAAAGAGAAAACTAGCATAAATCTGCAACATTTTATGACATAATTAATCTGGAACGTAAAAAACAAGAGACCGTAAAATATATATTTTATATTAAGATGTTTCGTTTACTTAGAGCACAAAGCAGAATCCGCTGTGCTCAAGTATCAAAACTGGAGTACTTAGTGGACTAAAAACCAACCAAAGAATTCCGTCTGCCGTTGAAAGTTGAAACTAAACTACGATTTGGGCGCGTGTTAGCTGCACGACTCGCGGCTTTCGAAACCGAACGGCACGGCACGGTCGGAGATAACAGAAACCCACCTGGTTATCTGTTACCGTGTTCTGAAATCTGAACTACTACCCAATGTTTGAGACTAGCTCGGTGAGGTTCGCAACATCAACCTTTTTGACGGCTATCGGCTCGTGTCGGCTGGATGCTTCGGCTTGCGTCACCCGGTGGGCGCGCCGCCAGCCGATCGAACGGGAAGGTGAGGTGCAATTCCAACTTCTCCTCCGCCTCCCGTGGGCTGGGCTACCTGTTCCATCGCCATATACACAGTCCCCACCGACACATGTCCATGGCTTTGCTAGTGGTATAATTTCACTTTGATTCTCTAAACTGGTTGTCGGATCCGGTTCGTATCCCTAAACTATAACATCGGATATTTTGACTCCTCCTCAATTATTAAAATCAGAACAATTTGACTCCCTCGACTGTTTTGAAGAGACGGTTTTGCTGACGTGATAGTGTTGACCTGGTTTCGTCCTACGTGATATTGACGTGATGCTTATGTGATATTAGAATTAAAAAAATATGTGAAACCCGTTTATCATTAATAAAAGAAATATTATGGGATTCACATGTCATCCTCTCTTTATCCTTCCCTTCTTCCTCATGTCTCTCTCTTTCTCTCCCCTTTCTCTACCCCTTCGTCCGTCTATGGGAAGAGCTAAAGCGGTGGCAACAGAAGTGCAAGGGATTCCAGGGCGGCAATGGTACCGCAGTCAGGCGTAGGGACGAAGGCGGTGGACTACGAGGTGGAGCAGCGGGATGGTGGTCGCGTGGTGAAGAGGAAGGAGGCCGGCCTCACGAGAGGGAGCCATGGAGGAGTGCCGGTCGCAACATCAAGTGTTGGGTGAGTGCTAGTGTCGATCGCAATACCACCACCGCCGAGATCCGGCTCTTGCCCACCATCGTCCTATAATATTCCTTCTGTGAATGACAAATGAGTCCTACATTTTAAAAAAAATTAACACCACGTCGGACGAAGACCAGGTCAACACCGCCACGTAGTTACCACGTTAGCGAAACCGTCCTTCAAAACAATTGCAGGAGTTAAATTGTGTCGGTTTTAATAGTTAGGGGTTGAGATATCCGGTATTGTGATTTAGAGATAAGAATCAGATTCGGCTATTAGTTAAGAGAGTCAAAGTGATTTTATTCCTTTGCTAGTTGCTGATACTACTTGCGGGCTGCGGCACATAGACAGATCACTTAACACCAACCAGGCAGGCCAGTCTCCAAGAGTCCAAGCCCATAGCCTTAGGCCGAGGCCAGGATGATTCTAATGGGCCTTGTGCCACACATGGGCTTCACAGGGCCCGAATTCACACATTGCCTTCTTCTTCCTCTTCTTTTAATAATCGTATTAATTCACATACGTGCTCAGTCAACCGGAACGGGGTCATTTAACTTAACTGATGTGAATTGAGCCATTAACATGTGGACCGTAGTAAAGTGAGCTCACTGGACAGTAACTCAACTGCATGTGTAGTTATGGGTGATCTGTTTCCCAGTCAACCCATATGCTCCCCCATGCACTGGCACATACCCCGTCCAGAGATTAATCTGGGCAAATGCTTGTTAAGATTCATGATCAGATGTTGAGGTTAAGTCCAGAAATAGTAGAATACTCATGCATGATCCCCACAAAGAAAGGAGGGAGGGAGAAGAACATGCATGTGGTACTAGTCAACTGTAGATATATCTGTAACGGCATGAAGCTGCACATGAGAAGCAGTTATAGTTCGCACTATTTAGAGACCTATAGCTTCGGTGGACATGCCAACGGCAACGGTAGAATCGGGCACTATCGATCGGACAGACGACTCTAACTAATCCTGTACCGTAATGAGTGCTACTGAAGATTTTAGAATCATCCACTCCAGGCGAGACATGCTTGCAGTTTCAGACATCCAAGCAGAGACACCATATGCTCAGCTCAATGCGGCGAGCGTTCCAGGTGATGATCATGATCTACAAACAGGCCTCGCAGCGACAATCATACAGACCCAGGATGTGAACAGAAGATAAAACAGCTCAAAAGCAAGCAGGCTTTTCTCCTTCAGGCCGGGCTAATCAATGCAATGCAGCAGCACGGCGTCTGCACACGCAATGCACAACTCTCGCGCAGTCGCAGAACGATCTGAAATCTGAATAGAGAGCAGAAACAACAACGGAGATCGATCGATCAATCGATCACCGATCAGGTGAAGGCGTGCATAATTTCAGAGATTTTGCAGGAGCAATCCATCTCCAATATGTTCGGTCATTCACCGACGCTTTCAGAGGAAGCGAGTGATCGATGAGCTGCTGCTGCTGCTCAACTGCAGGGGAAGCTGGCAGACAGGGCAGATGGGGAAGTCTCCCAACCGCGAGAACTTTATGTCGCCCATGCTTGTTGGCAGCTGATCTCTCTGATGAGCTTGCTCTCACACCCATCCATCAGCTGCGCCGTCTCACATCATGCACATGAACCACCCGACACCAGCAAAGATCACGGCAAGTGAGAGCATTCAAGGCTCGGTAGCTGCAGCAGCCAGCAGCAGCTGGTAGTAGTAGCTTGGTCCAAACCGATCAGCCCAGTGAGTGATGGGTTGCCATGCCTACCTCCCTCCCATTCATGTGCCATGGCCATGGAGTTCTGAATGCTGCTCAGTGCCGTTTCTTCCGCTGCAGCTTGCACCAAAGCTAACAGAATTCAGATCGAAGCTGATAGTACGTGCTAGTTTGCTACCAAGTTAACAGCAATCCAACAGCACACACAACGGGGAGGGAAAAGGGGATATTACACTTTGGTCAAAAGCCATCTTGCAGGAGCAGCAGCAGCCAAACATCTTTGGCCAAAAGGAAACGGGAGTATGATGATGGATGAGACCTTGAGGGCATCGAAAGAATGAAAGATCCTCTTTGCTAGGCATCGCCCCAGCACGCTTAAGTTCGTTCCCTTCCCCATGCAGGCATGCTCTCGCGCGTTTTTTTGAGCAACCACATCTCCGTTTCTACCAAAAGCCATGGAGATTGAGATGAGAACAATAGGGCATTGCAGATGCTCTTTTGCCAACATTTCCAGTACAAGGATGGAAGAACTGCTTCTGAAAATGCAACGATCAGAGATAAGGAATTTACACAGGCTTATACCAGTAAAGAGTAAAATGGGAGAGATCGTGCAGGTTTCTTTAATCTATGAGTAAAACGCAGAAATCGCAATGAATAGCCTGGCCCGAGAGAAGAAATGCAAGTACTGGTCACCTGAACAATCTGACATAAGCTATTATGAACAGTAATAAACCAATCTGACAGAACAACAATATGAACAATTAACTCCTGATCCGGACTAGCACAACGCAAGATGCACCCCAGGAGAACAAGATCATACAAGCTGCAATGCTGCGTTACAAACTTTTCATACGAGACACTATGCGAAGCTGCAAACAAACCACTGTAAGGCAATCTTCATGCAAAATCAGAACTCAATTAATACACCATGCTCGCACTTGAGAATTTCGACACAACTTGAACCAAATCTGCCGAATTGTCTGAGGCACGTCCATATCAGAAATCACGCCTATAGCCAATACCTACCCCAGATCATACATACATAAATGCTTCAGACTGGCTTCCCGTGAACAACCACAGGGAAACACTGTACTTGTACGCAAGACCTATTAAGTAATGACAATTACTCCACTGATCACAAAGATCACCTTTCAATACACTGAATCACTGATTCACAAAGATCAACTTGAATAGCAACAAGATACGCAACAAAGGAATCCATCCATCCATCTGCACCTTGATAGTATTTGCTTTGGTCAACTGACCAACAATGAACATACTGAAACCTTTGTGATGCCATTGTTAAAAAGAATTAACAAATAGAAGTAACACCTTAAGACATCGTTAATGAACTCATCCAATAGGCTAATATAATATCCATTATGTCCAGAAAGACTATGTACATCTAAGCACACCAAGAACTCTAGTCGCATATCATGAAGGCCAAAACCAAAACTCTAAACAAAAGAGAGAGAGAGAAAAAGAATATTATAGGTAAATACTAGAGACAATAACGAATCCAACTGACATATTAACGCATATTGACGGACTAGACAGAGAAAATTGCCAAACTCTTTTTTAGTTTTTTAACCCATCGGCGGCGAGGTTAAGATACTGGCATGCTGCTCAGGAAACTGTTGGTTTCACCGCCACCGGCTTGGCTGGGTCAGTGCCGAGCACGGTGGCCGCCGCCGGCACGCCGCTGACAGCCGAAGCATACTGGGGGAGGACGCTGGTGTAGTAGATGGCGTGGCCATTGCTGTCATACGCCACCTGCGGCGCGTAGGCCTGAGCATTCGACGCGGCGGCGGGGGAAGGGCCATTGCCGCTCGCATTGGCATTGCCATTGTGCTGCGCGACGGCGTAGACGGCGGGGAAGGAGGTGGCGCCGGGGCCAGCGGCGGTGGTGAAGTAGCCATGCGGCGGCGCGGGGATGAAGAAGACGGGGGCATGGTCAGCGCCAGAGCCAGGGGCAACAGATGTATACCTTCCCGGCACCGGTAGGAAGGCCGTCGGCGGTGGAGCGGATGATGGAGGCGGAGCAGCGGGCTTCTCCTGGTACTTGGGCAAGTAGTACTCCGGCGTGGCCGTTGGCGGCGTTGGGGTGACGGTGGCGGGAGGGTAGGCGCGGGTGAGGGAGTCGTCGCTGCCATTTCTCGGTAGGGCCGCCGGCGGCGGCGCGGCGGTAGCGGGAGCAGGTGGTGGTGGTGGTTGCTGCGCGGCGGTGTCGGCGAACTGTAGCTTCTCGAGCCCCTGGATCTGGCGCTGGAACTCGCCGGGAGAGACGACCGGGGAGACAACGACGTGGTCGCTTACGGGGTTGGTGGTGTGGCGGTCGTCGTTCTTGGCGGGGATCTCGACGGGGACGTTGTCCTTCACCGTCGGCGGGTCACCGGCGGGGTCCTTCACCTTCACCGCGGGCGGCGGGACGAAGCCGTTGTCGAGGCCGAACAGGTAGTCGGGGCCCGTCGGCGCTGGCAACACCGGCGGCGGCTGCGGCATCGGCACAACCGCTGGTGGTGGCGACTGCACGGAGACCGACTCCTGCTTCGGCTGCGGTGGCGACGGTGGCGGCGGCTGATGGACGGAGTTGAGCGCGTCGACGAACCACTGGCGTTGCTCCTGCTTGGGCTCGAGGAGGCCGGACGGCTGCGGCGGGGGCGGTGGCGTGGGCGACTGGACGGGGAAGAGGAAAACCCTGAGCCTGGGCGTGGAACCGCCGCGGGACGAGCCGCCGCCAGATCCCGGCGCGGGGCGGAGCAGGTGGAGGCGGTCGTACTCGAGGACGAGGTGCTCCAGATCCTCGTCGTTGGTGACGGAGACGAGCGCGTCGAGGTCCTCGCCGGGGAGCTGGTACTTGACGCAGAAGTCCCCCGGAGAACCCGCGAGGCCGGCCAACCGCGCGGCGAAGTCGGCGAAGCGGAGGGGCCTCTCGAGCGACAGGATCTTCGTCTCGCCGTTGACGTACGAGAGCTGGTGGTCGTGCGGCCGCGGCTGGATGCGCCCCCCGTAGCTCACCATCAACCGCACCTTCGCCGGCGGCGCCGGTGGCGGGGGCGCCGCCTGCGCCGCCGCCGCCTCCGAGCCCTCGTGGTGCGCGTCGTCGGTGGCCGCGGCGGAGTGCGGGGACGAGTCGCCGGAGTCGGCCATGGCGGCGGCGGCGGCGCGCGTTAGGGTTGGGGATGATATGATGGGGGAGAGCGGGGTGAGGGGAGAGGGAGGCTGTTATAAGGTAGGTAGGGGTGGGATGAACGGGTTTTGGTGCGATTAAGGGTGGTGATTAGCGATCTTAATTCTGTGTTTAGTCTCTAAAGAGGGGAGGGGATTATTGACTGCGGATTTTGGCGGGGGTTTGGCATCGGGAGATGTGTGGGGACAGTTGGGATTGAGGTGTCTACTGTGGATATGTGTGCCTGCTGTGGCGGGCCCGGCTTTTTCCATTTCTTTCTTTTTTATTATCCTGCTTCTTTTCGCGTGATCTTTTTCTCACCTGGAGATACATGCACGATAGGATACTTTGCAAATTCTAATAGTTTGGTTTTAGTATTACTGATTGGATTAGCATCCAGCAATGTTGAATCAGAAATGTGACGCCGTTGGACAGATCGAAATGCACCTGGCGAATTTTTTCGAATTGGAAAAAACGGCAGCATTTAAATTTTCTGTTCGCCGATGCCTGGTCTATTGTGGAGGGGCTTTTTTTAGCTGCTGTGCGGAGCGTCAGGGCGTGCCGTGATGGCGACAAGCGGACGGACCGATCGAAGGAAGCATTGGGTGCGTCTGGTTGCGCTTTACGACGGCCCAAACTGCCTCGCCGTCGCCGGTGTCGCCGGTGCCAGCCCGCACCTGAGAATTCACCCCATTTTACAAGTTTGGAAGAAGGAAAGCGGGCGCAAGTTTCGATGCGTGGGCGCGCACCCACAGTTTCCACTTCCAACCGACAGGGTGCACTCGGGCGCCCGGGTGTGTGCATGCGTCGCACGATCGCCCAAGGCCCCAAAGGCCAAGAGGGGTGGTGTGCTGGGGCCGACGTACGTCCATGTGTCGCGGGGGTGCTGCCGCTGACGACGCGCAGTCGCAGGCGCAGGGCCATGTGGATGTGTGGGCGCCGTCGGAGTTAATTTTGGCAGCGTGTTAGGCAGAGAGGCCGCGGCAGCCACCACAAAACCGGTCGCTTCTCCTGGTCAAAACCTCCGCATCTCACCGCAGCCGCACCCACGGGCGCCACCACACCGCTGCACCTGCACTGCCCATGCGCCCCGCTTCGCATACAGAAACAACTCGTTCCACTGAAATTCTGACGCATGGATCAATAATTTTAGTAGAAGTACTGCCCTTTCCTGGTGAACCGGATTTGTTTCCCCAAAATTATCCTGCCATGACAAATTTGTTCGACATCGATGGTCACATTTCCACAGGTACTACTTATGGTGATGAATATGTGTACGTTGTATTTGAGGTTAGATATTTGCCAGGTAGTATACGTGATAGGAGGAAGAAAAAAAAAACAAAATGATACCAGGAGTACTTATTTGCACTACTATTAAAATGAGGATCTGACATTACGGATACAGCCAAACCAGCCGTCAAACGAGTGACCGCGGAAGATGGCGAGCACCCGATGATCCAGCTATTGACCTGGCCCTCTTTTCGGCGCGTCACAGTTTAACTTAGCATCCCTAAAAACTGCCACGATCACGGATCTAGCCAGCTGCTTAATGACCTGGGAGAGTGATTACACTGAGCAGTGGGTCCCATCACCAATAGAGGTCCGTGGGCCCACGTCTATTTTTTCTGTGCAGATTTCCTTCATTCTCTTTTTCAGCACACACGAAATCGATTTTATCTATCACAATATCTTTTCTTACCAAACTCAGCGCGTGTGATCTTCTTTTCTGGCTGCTTTGTTTGAAGAGAAGTGCACGATTACAGTGACGTCGTTAGTATCGATCCCAGATGAAAGCCGGATACTATATTATCGCCATTAGATTAGACTATTTGTTTCACAACGCATGTGGCAAGCCAGTTGGTAGTTAGCAGGCATGTTAGCCGGATGGATTCTGGCAGGAAGTTGTGTGGATGGAGTATATTAGTAGCACTCCTTGCACAAAAGATATACTATTAGTAGCACCAAATTAACAATGCTGGTTAATCCATCCGGGCAATGTAATAATGTACACCTTTGTGTTTCCAACCAACTAATGCATGTGTGATCGAGTAGCAGGGCCTGTGTTTTTTTAAGCATGCAAAGAAGGTTAAAGAAATCATTAGAAACCTGACAATCAAGGTGTCTAATGGGCAACCAAGCAAAGCAAGCGAGTGAATCCTGCATCACCGTTGCATAGCTGGAAAGGATAACTGATGATCCTACATTTTTAATAACTGATAGAAAGTGGCGTGCCGTGGGTGACGGCGGCCATGATTAGCTGTGCATAATTACCACTTTACAAGATTGCTAATCAGCGAAATCATGCTGTTTTTTTCCTTAAATAAAACTGCAGAAAATTTACGTGCGTACGTGCACTTTAAAGCCCAATCAGTTTTTTTTTTCGGATTTACTCGGCTACAGTTTCTGTCCATGAGACCAGGGGAGAGGCATTGACCGAGCGTCATCTCCTTAATGGGCCCACGTGGCAGTCACAGCGAAATATGGGCCCACCAGGCCGGGGAGTGGGGAGGGTGACGCGGCATGCATTTGAGCTGGTGGCGTACGAGCGGCGCGGCCCACCCAACACGTTGCTGCATCATCTCTCCACACATATGCGTTCACAGGTGTAGTAAAGTTGACTCGGTAAAATTGACTAAGTAATTCTTACTGTAACTTTTTTTTAGAAAAAAAAGATAAATTTAATAACTGTTGGTTACTTCGTGTTAGTGTAGTATTTTCACGATTGATAATGATATAAGCCGACAATATTATTAAGGATTTAAGGGCGTGTGAAAAGAATAGTGGACGGAATGGCCGAATAGGTTCTCCGCCAAAGAGGAGATGCTGCTGATCGCAAAGAAGAGGAGTACACGTACGCTTTGCCTCAATGAGATTTAGAGAGCGATGTGCATATAATGTGGGTCTCGATTAGGGATGGCAACCGGGGACCCATAACCCACAACCCGATGGGTTTTTACTCTATTAGGAGACAAATATGTTCCAAATATTACACCCATGGATCTCTTATCGGGCTAAAACGTCACCCATCGGTTGGGCCGGGTCCTGGAACGTTCTCCATCCACCCGAACCCATTAACCCGTGGGTTAAAAATACCCATAGGCCTCAGCCCAGAAAATACAAGTAGCCCAATGCCCAACAACAAATCTAAGCATCTAAGTCTAAGTGTCTAACCCTAGAAATAAAAACCCATTTCCTCTCTCTCTCACTGATTCACTTCTCCTCCCTCCCCGGTACTGTGCTGCTGTAGGGTGGCCGCCGCCACAAACCCTACGGCGCCTCTCGCCCGCGCCGGCGCACGCCCACGCCGCCCGCGCCACCCGCGCTGTCGCACGCCTGCGCCGTACGGCCGCACGCCCCCACCGCGCTAGCCGCCGCCGCACGCCAGCGCCGCGCTCGCCGCACGCCCGCACGCCACCCGCCCACCACCGCGCTCGCTGCCGTACGCCCCCACCACGCGCCGCACACAATACAGGCCTGCGCAGCTGTGTGTTCTGCACGCAGCATGGCAGCGGTCTCCGGCTCCGGCAACGACGACGGCAAGTGATCTTCTTCCCTCTTTATTAACTGTTGCAGCTATATCTAATGGGTATGGGTACCCGTCACCCGTGCGGGTGTGGGTATGGGTGAATTTTTCACCTGTGAGCGGGTGTGGGTATTGGAGCGGGCATATTTCATTTTAATGGGTGTGGGTATGGTGTCGGTGAATCCAATGGGTACGCACCGTTGCCATCGCTAGTCTCAAATCTGTAAAGAAGATTAGAGTAGGAATTAACGCGTATATGTATAGTATCAGCGTTCCAATTAGACAGCAACTCTTTTTTTTTTTTTGGCTTCAAATTCTACTAAACGCAACCTATGTAGGAGTAGCACATGCACCTCCAGCTTACTTTGGTTGCACACACATGCGAATCGCCTTCCCGAAGTTAAGTTGAGTGTGTTATTCAAACCAGCTGCAATTATGGTCAGTCTACGCAGTCTCTAGTCTCACAGGTCCTCTTTCTTTAATATGAAACGGATAGAACTGAATTAGAGCAGGTATAATAGCAGGCTGTAAGCCAGCTGCAAACATATTTTAAGGAGATAATGAGAAAATAGAAGGATAATGGGCTACAGATTTGTAGCCAGCTGTAGCACGGACTTTAAGACGTAGTGTGCGTATGACAGGTGGGACCATTTATTAATAGTATAGTATGTAAGTATTGTATGAATAAACTATTAGATTGGCTATAGATAAATTGAAGTTAGTAGTGGGCTATACTATTGAACTTGCTCTTAGGGTGTACGTGATTTAGAAGCAAACATCTCGTCAGACTTTCTTGCCTGCACACGATTTAGGGATTGTTTAGTTTAAGTCAAAATTGAAAGTTTAATTGAAATTGGAACGATGTGATGAAAAAGTTGGAAGTTTATGTGTATAAAAAAGTTCTGATGTGATGTAAAAGTTAGAAGTTTAAAGAAAAAATTAAGAACTAAACCAGGCCTCATTCCTTCTCTCTGTTTGTTTTGTTCTGGGGCTATGAAGAAACAGAAGAAAGTTTCTTGCGGCGCCACCTCAACGAATATCCTTGTTCGCCCAAGGCCTGGAGTTGGACTGAACAATTCTCTGGATAACCTCAACAAGACCGATTCGTTTGTCATCATACTACAGTATCATTAGGATCAGGGTTTTCAATATCTGAAGATAGCCCTTGACATGTTCAGCTGATTGCCTGAAACTGACAGGTAATTGGTACTTCTAGATGATTTTATTTCAGCTTTTGAGCCGGGATATCTACCTGGAGAAGATTACCTTAATTAATTTCTTCAAGTCCGCTAATGATATAGTAGGAGTACTATACTAGTATACTGGTACTAGATGATCAAAATGGCAACCACCTAACCGTTAAAACATAGGAGTAGTAGGAGGAGTAGCTACGTAGCCTGAAACCTCGGAAGTGTAGATGGAGACCTCGCAGCTACACACTACTGAACAAACGAACGGTCCAAAGCCTTTTCACAGAGAGCAACCTCCAAACCGGGACAAGCATCTGCTGCCGTCCATGCGGCGCCAAGCAAAGCCCATCACCGTCGTGTTGGCACCATCCCAGCCGTCTGTCCCTCTCAGTCTCACCCATCATCATCATCATCTCGCAAGCGTCGTGGACGCGAAAGTGAAGCTTCATTTGCCGATGTACTAGCAAACTTCAGCCTCAGCTACATCGTGGGTACGCTGCATCTCCTGCTCCATCGGTCCCAAAAACAAGTATAGTTTTACGCGGTTCATATCTAACGTTTAATCATTCATCTTATTTTAAAAATATTTATAATTAATATTTTTATTTTTATTAATTGATAAAATATAAATAATATTTTATGTGTGACTATTTTTAAAATTTTTTATAAATTTTTAAATAAAATGGACGATCAAACGTTAAATACGGATACTCATGGCTACATTTATTTTACGACGGAGGTTGTACCAATTAACATGATCTAAATTGTTCCCATCAATCACTATCACGGCCTTAATTAAAAGAGCAAGTTAATTAAACCCTCTATTTATGGGGCTACCAAAAATATGATGATGGGAGCAGATGCAGAGTACTCGGTTAACTTAGCTCCGATTGTTAAGCTTTAATCTTCACATGCGTGCAAGTACCAGATTGAGCTGTTTTGTGACTTGTTTAGGGTCGAGAGCCTCGAGTCCCGAGACACGTAGGCAATTAGGCATGATGGGTTTAACCAAGATACACATGGGTTAGTGCAAATCAGGATTAACCAAGTACTCTCACCTGACTAGATAAACATGGAAGCTAGTACTACAAGTCACCAGCCAGAGTTAACAAACACTGCTCTGGGTCTTGCGATCCATGTGAGCTGAAGTGTTTGAAGTTCCTTCCAAACGCATTAACAAATTCTGCCCTGCTTTATCACTGTTATAACCACTCGGCAATGTACTGTAGGAGCAGTAGTTAGTGGTACAGGACTATCGGTAAACTCGAATTAGGAGTCGTGGTTGATTGCATTGACGAGCGTAACACGAGCTGGTGCAGTTGGTTGGTACATCTGCACTCTTCACCCGTGTCTGAATTTCTGCTCGTCTGCTGTGCTGTCGTCGTGCTGCACAGTCTACAGGAATAGCTAGTGGACCAGTGGAGTAGGAGGATTTACATTTTACAATCTCGATATATTGCCTAGGAGAATTGCGTGATGCATCCACGAATAGTACTAGTTGCTCGAGATCGAGGAGGGAGACAAGGATTGTGTGCTATTTTACTGGACTTCGTGTATCCTGTTTCTTTCACCCTTTGCTGCTACTGCCTACTAGTACTAGTAGTAGTACTAGTTTGCTTGTGCCTTGCAAGTTGCAACATGTTGTACGTATGCAGTTACTCGCTCAGTCCCAACAAAAAAAAAAAAAAAAAAAAAAAAACATAGGTTTCTGTGCCAACTATCCGTCTTATATAAAATTTTTTTATAATTAGTATTTTCATTGTTGTTAGATGATAAAATATGATTAATACTTTATACGTGACTTATCTTTTTTAATTTTTTTCATAGTTTTTTCAAATAAGACGGACGGTAAACGTTGGACACGGATTTCCACTGCTGCACTTATTTTGGGATGGAGGTAGGGGCTGTTTGGTTTAATGCTTCAACTTGCCACACCACACTTTAGACTGCCACACCTCCTTAGCCTTGTGTTTGGTTCATTACCTTAATTATGCCAAGCCACACTTTCTTACCATCTTACCCACATGTCATAGACTCAATCTTTTGCCTAACTTTACCACAAATGTGGCTTACAATTTGTAGGCCACAAAAAGTGTGGCAAGCCACACTTACCTAACATTGTCTAAAGTGAGTTATGACAATGTTAGTTAAGAACCAAACATGCTGGTAGTACTTCAAGAATTTATCTGGCAGGCAACATATGCTACTGGACGCTGATATTTGGCACCGGATTCAGCCCATCTAATTTTGAGCCCAACCAGATCTTATCATATCTGTCAAAGTTTATTCGGCCCAACTATATATCATTACGAGGCCCACCAGTGGCAGTGCTCCCCTCCCTATTGGACCGGAGTACAACAAAGCCCAATTGAAGAGACGGCCCAATGAATGGGCTGCAGAACAAGGCCCACGCCGCAATTGCTCCGTGGAACATAGGGAAGGAAAGCCTCGCAAGCAGCAGGCGAAGAATCGAATTGCGGCCTGCGGCAATTTGTCATCAAAACTCAAAGACATATTTCAGCTACTTGTCAATTTGTCATCGCATACAAAGCATCGTCTTCTTGTCATCAGCAACTTGTTTGCGTACGATTATGAGCTATGCTTTGGCCTACTTCCATCAGCAAGTGTGCAATACGTTGAGCTAGCATCCAGTGGTCACTGGTTAGTTAGCAGTAGTTGTGTACTGCCAGTATAGTAGTAGCTAACAGGAAGGCACATTCAGTGTGTCAGTCGACGAGTCCATACTAAGTCATAACCTGGTTGTCCGTTAGCTGCAGGCCGGACCCGATGCGTGGACCAAAAGAGTATCGGAATTCAGACACGCCACATGATTTTATTGATCGGTACACGCTGCAAGTATGGCTGGGCTGGTCCAAGCCCAAAATTATTAAGAGCAATGACCCGGTTTCAGTTGCAGGCAGCAAATGGAAGAGAATACTTGTAGTATCCAGGAAAATCTTCCTCTCAAAAACTTTGAAATATATTAGGGCATTGTTTAGTTCCAAACTTTTTCTTTAAACTTTCAACTTTTTCATCACATCAAAACTTTACTATACACATAAACTTCCAACTTTTCCATCACATCGTTCCAATTTCAACCAAACTTCCAATTTTAGCGTGAACTCAACACACCCTAGTATTTGCTGCAGAACTGTAGAGAAGGATTATTAGAGCATGTAACTGATGATGAGAATGCTGAATTATTGATGCACCAACTCTTCATCCGGGACTGATTCAAAGGGATTTAGTCGATTTTTCTCCCTCGATTAAATGGAAGACACTGGTCTTCTACTCTGTTATCATCTGTTCAGGAAACAGGACTGGAGTAGCCACATTTACCATCTGTAATTATAAATTTATAATATGCTCATTTGACAGAAATGACATATATATCATCCAATGCAATGGAACATGAGCAGAGAGTAGTAATCTAGAGTAAATGCCCATCTGTTTGTACATTATCTTACCAAGGATTTTTATCAAATCCTACCTGAACGAAAGCAAAGCCGAAAAGAAAAACCATACTAAAATAGAAGAGAGATCAGGGAACAATACACCTAAACTGCAAGCTGAGAGAAGCAGCACTGAAGAACAGGACACGACATGGATCTATCTATCATCATCTATTGGAATCTGGATTCGGGCCACTCGGAACCTCATGCTTGCTGTCGTCGATGCCGGCCGAGTTCCACCTCCGTGGCCGGAACCTCCTCGTCCTCGCCGCCGGCAGCAGAAGGCGCCGTCCACCGGCCGGGACCGACGTCGCCGCCGCTGGCAACGACGACGACCTCACCTTTGCTTCTTCTTCTTCTTCCCCCGGAGGAGGAGCCAGCGACACGACGAGCATAACGGCGCAGAGAAACGCACAGAGGCCGAGAAGCGGCAGCGCAGCAGCTGGTCTTCTTCCATCTCCAATCCATCGAGCTCTTGCCATGCAAGAATCAGCTTGCAGTAAAGCCTTCGATCTCCCCGATCTCACAAGCCACCACTAACCAAAACTCCCATGGGCATCTGCCAGAAGACGAGACGAGAGCTTAGCTGAAATATCGCTCTCTCTAGCTAGCTGCCTCTCACTCTCACTCTCTCAGCGTGTGTGAGCTCAGCTAGCTCTTGTACCGTGGAGACAATGCAAGCAGGCAGCTGTTCTATTCTTTCCAGGATTCACACATGGGTTGGCTACTTGGCTTCTCTGGAGTCTGGACCAAAAGTTTGGGTTTCTTGCTTTGCTTGCTTGCTTGCAGGTGAAATGGGAGATGACCATGTGTATGCAAAGGCACGGAGCAGGGGTGGCTGCTTCTTATCTACTGCCCGTGAAGAGAAGCAGCTGAGAGAGCTTTGTGTGATCCATCGTGTATCTGACAGCATCATCACCATACATCGATGGCTTTGTAGACGCCTCAGCAAGACATGCCCCTAGATTGTACTGCTACTGTAGCTATATCCATTGCATGCATACGCATGCTAATTACTTGCAGTATGGAGTACGTAGTACTATGACTGTATGAGCGTGAATCAACATCTGCATTGTACTACGTACTGCAGATGTATGATTGCACTCGCTAGGTGTGTGAGAAATTTACAATTGCTTCGAGTATTTACTTTTGTCGGTCGCGAGCTCGCAGGAAAAAGTTGATCATGGAGGACGGAGCAGCAAAAGGACGCAAAGGACGCGATGGAAAAGACGTAAGACGGCATCAACTGAGAGCTTTGCTCATCTTGGTAAGGCTGTAAAGCTCCAATCCAACAAAATATTTGACGCTCATTGACAGTGTTGCTGATCTTTCATTAACTAATCCATCTCCCTTTTAATTCTCATCTTATTTGTATATCTGTCAAGAACAAAATGATGGGGGTGCTACGATGTTAGCTCTGCCATTCAACGTTTCCACAGGCTAAGCTAGCAAGCATGATAAAAAGGAGAAGATTGTGAAAGCCTGAAAGGAGTAGTAGCATGCATGCATGCAGTGCAGCCAGGCCAAGCCAAACAAGAATGCTTTTCCATGGACTGACGACAAACACAAGCTGCATCTACACAAATTCATGTCCAACCCTGTAGCAGACAGGCAATGTTCTGCAGTTGTCTCGTCACCTCCTCTGTAGGGACTCGCTACAGTCACCACACGGACCTTGCACATGAACTCAGGCAAATATATCATCACATGAACTGTAAAAGATTGATCTACTAGATGGACAAACACAAACACTTCACTGTTCGCCATGTAGATGCTGCCGGATCGATCGAGAATTTGATTTGCCGTTTTTCTCTTCGAGAGGGGACGAGTGGGGCGCGCATGCTGGATGAAAAGGTTACACGAACTTCAAAGCGGGCATGGTTAATTATCATGGGCTCTAGAGAGGGCAAGAGCTGACTGAAACTGGACTAATCTCCACCTATCGTCTAATCACAACTCATTCTGTCGCCGGCCATGAATGCCTCGTGATTCGGGATATATGCAAACGGAGGAAGCATGCACTGCACATCCTGTATGCTACTGGAGTACTATTATCAGCAGGTTACTTTTGTGCATCTGAACGTGGCAAACCGGGCTTCACGGGAGCAGGCATCATCAAGAGCCAAAACCTCCCACTATAATTCTTCTTTTCGACTCTATTCTTCAGGCTTTTGTATTAAGCCTGCAGCACCCTCTCAATACTTCAATTACAATAGGATCGGTGACCACAGCTTACTAGGTTAGGGGACACAAATATATAACTTGTCCCAAGTTAACATTTGCATTGTGCATCTGCTTTTGTAGCAGTAGTAGTAGCCGTGCTAATGCAATTATTGTGGATGGAACAATTCATGTAACAATCTCATGATTTGGATACCCACGGCGGCAAGCATGCCGGCCGATCATCCTAGCTACTCGTAAGTATCATTTCAGTTGCATACAGTACAATACTCCCTCCGACCCAAAATAAGTGTAGCCATGGTTTTCTGCGTCCAACTTTGACCATTCGTCTTATTTGATTTTTTTTTTTAAAAAAATTAAAAACATAAGTAATGAGTAAAGTACTATTCATGTTTTATCATCTTATAACAACAAAAATGCTAATTATAAAAAAATTTCAAATAAGACGGATAATCAAAGTTGGACGCGGAAACTCATGGCTGCACTTATTTTGAGACGGAGATAGTAGTATTGTCTGTTCAGTTAGGCTTCGGGAAGTGTACTAAAATATTACACCAAAGGTTATCAAAAGCTGGCCTTAAATACATAATAACTTAGCAGCGCGTTACTACTAGAGTACTCCAGTATTTAGGACCCTTTAAATCACAGGAATAAAAAAAAATGAAGAAATAGGAAAAACATAAGATTTTGACAAGAATATAGATGTAAAACTGTAGCGCCCGTTCCGTCGTGGCGCCTAGCGGGAAAACTATCTCTTAAAAACCCTATTTGCGAAATCCGTTTCTTTGCTTGTTGTCTAGTGTCCGTGCCATCTCAGATCTCAAATCCCCGATCTATTGCCGAGTTCAATCCCGAATCCAAATCCTTCCCAATTCAAATCCCTCCGCAAAAGTCTATTTCGCCTCCCTCGGGTTCGATGGGCCGAATCCCTCTCGGCCCATCTCCCCCTCCCTCCCTGGCTCTCTCTCTCTCTCTCCCCGCTCTGCCGTAAGCCGCGCCGAGCCCTCCCTCCCGCTCTCACAGCCGCTTCCCGCCGATGCCGCCCAAATCGCCGCACCGCCCGCGCGCGCGCGCGCCGTGGTGGCCGACCGGCCAGTCGCCGCCGCCGTCAGCGCCTGCCGCGCCTGCCCTGCGTCTGCCGCCCGTGTCGCCGCTCCACTCCAAACCGCCCCGCCGTCATCGCCGTCGTCATCGACTCGGCCCCGCCTCTCCCCGCGCGTCCCTCCAAGGGACGGAGGCTGAGCTCCCCCCCTCTGCCGCGTCGCCCTCTCTCCCTCCCCCTTTTCCCCAAAGCGGCAAGGAGGCAAGCCCCCTTTCTCTCCCCCTTTTTTTTTTCTCTTTTCCCTCCCGCCGGCGTCATCTTTCCCCCCCTCCTGTCGCCGTTTTGGCCGCGAGCGCCGAGCGCCAGCTCGCTCCCTTGACCGCCCAAGGTCGGTTTCCAAACCGACATCGCCGCCCTATAAACCCAGGCTTCCCCCCTTTCCTTTCCTCTCCCATTCGCCTCCACTCCATTGTCGCCGCCTCCCGTGCTCTGTTCGCTGTCGCCGTTCGCCGTCGCGCGTGTCGGAGGAGCCGGCACGAGCGAGGACATGGAAGAGGACTCCGGGCGCTCGCCTTCTTCCTCTTCCCCGGCCCGAGGCCGGAGAGATCACTCCTGTGCCGTCGGCCTCTCGTCACAGCGCCCCGCCTCATCTCGGTAGTGCATTCCCCCGTTCTCCCTCCTCGATCCATCTCCTCCCCTTAGTTTTCGGTAGTAGCATGTGTAGCCTTCCCGTAGCTAGCTGGCGCCGCCCCGACCGTTGCCGCCGCTCGCTGTGTGCTCGCCGCCGTCGTCGCCCGTGCTCCGTAGCGCCCGCTCGTCGCCGGCCTCGCTCGGCGTAGCTCCGCCCAATCCGACGCTAGCAACGGATTCCCGTAGCCGCGTAGATGCTCTCACCGCCGGGAATCGGCCCCTCATGACCTCGTCGCCGTTTCCCCCTTCCCTCGCCGCCGGTTGCCGCCGCCGCAATCCGCCCCCGTCGAGCTCCCTCCGGCGAATCCGAGCCGTTGGCTCATCTCCCCTCGTCCCATGCAACCCCCCGGTGTGCTCGCTTTCGCATGTATCGCCGTGGTTCGCTCCACCAATCGCCACCGCCGTCCGTTGTCCGTTCCGGCCGGCGTCGTCGTCTACCTCCCGCCGGCCCGCGTGGTAGCCACGTAGGCGCCACGTCGGCGCCACCTCGGCCGCGACCGGGTCAAGCAGACCCCGGTCCGCCGCTTCCCTCCGCCCCTCGCGCGCGCGGTCCACCGCGAGCCGTGAGGCTGCGCATAGGCCCGCCGCACCGCGTCCTCCGCGAACCGCGCGCATGCGCCGCGCCTCCCTCCCCAAACCCTAGCACGCCCCGCGTGCACCTCGCTCACGGTGAGCTGAGTCGCCGACAAGCGGGTCCCACCCGGGACCACGCGGGTTGGACCCGGCCCACCGGCTCTCTCTCTCCCCTCCCCGCCCGCGCGCGCGCGTTGGGCCGCCTTCTTGGGCCGGCCGGCCCATTAAGCTCGGCCGAGCCGCCCCATTCTCTCGGGCCGCGCCCTAGCCGCCAGAGGGAAGTCTAATTTCCCGCCCTAGCCGCCGTAAGTCCGTTTGACTCCGTCCAACTTCCAAAGTTCCTCAAATCTCGAGATCTATCTAATGGCACGCTTAGAGGTCAATAATAGGGCTTTATTTTCGCCGTTTGCTGAGTTGTCCCGTTTCGCGTGTAGTTTCGGAGCCCGAAGACCCGCAGTGCGAGGATTTCGAGGATCAAGCTCAAGATCTCGAGCGAGGCAAGCCACCTTTAAACATCTTGAGCCTATATTTGAACTTAATTATGTTGCTTGAAAAATATTATGCATTGATAGGATCGCACTTAATCTGCTTGTCCCGTCTGCAAGGCAGATTGGCGGACCTACCTAATTTGTTGCATTTGACCCTTCCATTGTAATTGTTATACCATGTTCCCTTGTACCCACCTAGTTGCGCCTCGGTAATCGTGTACTCTGCACGGGTATCGACGGTCGCCTTCAAACTTAAAATCTGAGAAACATCTTGGGTAAAACTTGGGTTTTACAAAAGACTTGGAAAACCCGACACCTGGGTCGGTGTTTGCGAACTAAATGAATTTCCAAAACCGCGGACCGGGGAACGTACCGGGTGTACGGTTTCCCGCTCTTGCACTTAAGGACCGTTTCCTTGGAATTTCATCCGAACATAAGACAAGTACGACCACATGGGTGGAATGGGACACCCCTGGCTGAGTAACTAGCTTATCGGGGGAGCCATGATGCTAAGAGACATGTGGATTCGCCGGGGTGGTGTCGGGGAGGACCCCTGGGCTTCCTGGCACAGTATGGTCTGGGACCTAATCTGGTGTTGGTTTGGGACCCCTCTCGTTGGCATATGGTGAACCTGTGTCGGCTTTCGAAATGCCTTGTCATGAAAGCCTTAAGGTCTCTAGTCGTGGCCGTTCTGCACGGGCTGGATGATCCGGGTTAGTAATGTCGTGTGGGTAAAGTGTACCCCCTCTGCAGAGGTTATTAAAACTGTTCGAACAGCCGTGCCCACGGTCATGGGCGGATGTGAGGTGATTCTTAGCGTAGTTTTGTTTGACTACTGCCTTGTGAAATTTGCTGTTGTGGAATGGGTTTGATGTTTGGAAAATCTGCGGCTGATGGGATCAGCCAGGCCCAGGTGGCCGTTTGAAAGCTGTTGGCCGGGTGCCAATCTTGATCAATTCAAAAGACTGAAACATTGCACATACTCCGACCGGATGAGACGCACTGTCTCATCCGTGTCGTTTGAGAAGCACTCCCTTAGTTGTTTCAGAAAAGAGTTTAAATAAAATCAATCGCAAAAACAACAGCCTTTCTTTGAAGCCTACATTAAACACTTATTTCCCATGGCTTGCTGAGTACTCCTGTACTCACCCTTGCTCTATATAAATAATCCCCCCCAGTTGCTGAAGAAGATGAAGCGGATCCCGCTGACGAGGAGTTCTTCCAGGAGCAAGCCGGCTATGATGAGTTTTAGGGTTTCGGCCTAGTTCCCAAGTCGCGCCTGTGATGTTTGGTCCAAGTCTTGGCTTCCGCTTCCCTTTTGTAATGCAGTTGTGAGCTCGAGATCTGTCCGCAGCCCAACATGACTGTACTCCTACTCTATAATAAAGAGACCTCTGTTGCTGTGATATTCTGTCTTCCTGTGATACCAGCACTGTTTCCTGGGACTGGTATCGATTAACGGGTTAATTTGGAGCATCACGGGCTAGTTCCGGTCGGGACTAGTTCGGGGCGTGACAAAAACAGAGGATTGCAAAACACAGAAAAAATATAGTAATGACCGTTTGATTGGACCATAGGAAAAACACAGGAATTTGAGGAGAGATAAAGACTCAAAGGATTTCTTCTTCCATGAGGTTCTACCTCTTGTTAAAATTCCTCCAAAACTTGTATGGAAAAAGGCATTCCATAGGAATTTCATAGGATTCCATAGGGTTCATTCCTTTGATTCAAGGCTTTGTAGGAAAAATTCCTATAGCAATAAAATCCTCTTAAATTCCTATGAATTTTCTTTGAATCAAAGGGGGCCTTAGCCTCGAATTACACTATTAGCATATGCTGTTAGCCTTTAGGCCGTTATTGAAAAGCTCACATCCTTTAAATTTTTGCTTAACCGTATGCTATTTCTGAACACTACTCTCTCCGCCCCAAAGTAAATTCATTTATACACATACCAATAAAAAATAGAATAAACATGCTTTATATCAAATATCAATACAACTATTTTTTCGCTTTATCTACTCCCATAATTATTTCTTATTTTTACAAACTCCGATACAATAATTACTCTAAAAATAAATTTATTTCAAGTAAAACAACAATAGCTAAAAATGAATATTACGGGAGAGGGAGTATTGAACACAAGTGCAAACATGATTAAGGCTGTGTTCGGGAGTGAGGGTCCCGGCACATAAAATGAAGCAGCGTTTACCACATGATTAATTAAGTTTTAGCTAATTTTTTTCAATAATAGATTAATATGATTTTTAAGCAACTTTCGTATAGAAACTTTTCACAAAAAGCGCAATGTTTAGCAGTTTGAAAAGCGTGCGCACGGAAAATGAGACGAGGGAGTTGGGAACAACTCCAAACGAACGCAACCTAAGGCTGTGTTCGTTTCTATATATAGGTTGGGAACCCCTCTCTTGTGCATGAAAAACATAGCGGTACATTAGCGTGTGATTAATTAAATATTATGTTTTTTTAAAAAAAGGATCAATATGATTTTTTAAAACAACTTTCGTATAGAAACTTTTTACAGAATAAAACACACCGTTTAGCAGTTTGAAAAGCGTGCGCGCAGAATACAAGAGAGAGGGTTGGGAACACCGAGCAAAGAACATAGGCTAAGGCCATTCACACTGCACCTAGGTGTCATTCCCCTTCACCTAGGCATAGCTCGGAGCCTCGCAAGAACGGGGGCTTTTGGGCCCACAAGAGAAGAGGTGGAGAAAGGGGAGGTATTGGCTCGTTCTTCGTTAGAATCGCAGCTTCTAGGCCCACAAGAGAAGAGGTGAAGAAGGGGGAGGGAGGGGAGAAGCGCCGATGCCGATGGCGATGCCGTCGTCCTCCCGGATCTGCGCTGGCCGCGCCGCCCCCCGATCCATGCCTGCCGCCGAGGAAGGAGGCCGGACGGTGCGCCATACGGGGAGCTCTGCCCGGTGCGGTCTAAGCTTGGACCGCGCCACTGCATTGCCGCCTCCGGCCCCGATGAGGAGAGATGGAGGCGTGGAGCTCGGTGCCGCCGCTACTCCACCGGCGCTCGGGCGGCGACGTCGCCGCCTTCAGCCCCGACGAGGAGAGGTGGAGGCGTGGAGCTCGGTGTCGCCGCCGCTTTGCTTCGTCCGTCCAGGAGAGAGAGTGGTGCGGAATGTGTGAGAGGGGAGAGGGAGAGATAAAAGGGAGCGGAGAGAGATAGATGGGACCTACTCCAAGCAACATGCATTGTGGAGTATGTACTATCTCCATCCCAAAATATAATACTCCTTCTGTTTCGAAATGTTTGACACCGTTGACTTTTTAGCACATGTTTGACCGTTCGTCTTATTCAAAAACTTTTGTGAAATATGTAAAATTATATGCCTACATAAAAATATATTTAACAATGAATCAAATGATATGAAAAGAATTAATAATTACTTAAATTTTTTGAATAAGACGAACGGTCAAACATATGCTACAAAGTTAACGGCGTCAAACATTTCGAAACGGAGGGAGTAACTTTTAGCTATGAATCGTCCAGTTGGAAGTCTTTCAGAACGAACGGTGAGTGCCCCAAGCGCTTTGGTGATACTCCAGTGTGAGCGTGACTGTGAGTGAGGTCACGAAAATGTTTTGAAGCGGTTTCTCGCATGGAGCTGTGCAGGTCGTGATGGCGCCTTTGGTGATGGTCAGCTGTACCCTGGAGCCTCTCCCGCAGTAGCAGCAGCAGCTAAGGCAGAGAGAGACATGCTACTATGGTGCACGGAGATTGGAGATGGAGAGTGGTCAAAGGCGTAAGCAGGCATGCATCGCTTCATTTCAGTTCAGGGGGTAGTCTCGCTGCTTTTCAGGAGGAAAGGCTCGCCGGTCTCTGAGGCCATTGCTGAATGAATGATAGGATTGAGCTTTTGTTACAAAGGAGTAAAGAGAGAGAATATCTGCACGTGACTCGGCTCGGATTCTACTATAGACGTGTCACGTGCTTGTGTACGCGGACGGCCCGTTGCAGGCCCATCTAAGGCCTGCTCAGATGGGTATCCAAATTCTCATGAAGTGATATTCAGTCAATGAAAAAAAAACTGGCGATGCAAACATGCCATGATTTTATCGGTTGTACTATATAGTAATTATGATTAGTTAATTTTTGTCGAAATAATAGTACCACATCCGTTCCGAAATATTGTAATTTAGGATGAGATTTAGGCTTTGTTCGTTTCTCATGGTTGGAAACGTTCTCCTCCGGCGCAAAAAAAACGGAACAGTTCATTAGCGTGTGATTAATTAAGTATTAGTAAAAAAAATTGAAAAATAGGTTAATATGGTGTTTAAAGCAACTTTCCTATAAAAAATTTTTTACAGAAAATACACCGTTTAGCCGTTTAAAAAGCGTGTGCGCGAAAAATGAGTGAGGATAGTTGGAAACTCTTAGTGCCGAACACAACCTTAATCAATCCTAAAACAAGATTGAGATATGTCCAGATTTTTTGTTATAAGATGCATCAAATCAATGTTTTGGGTAAGATATATCAAATCAACGTTTTGGGATGAAGAAAGTACTCTCTCCGTATCTAAATATAAAGGATTTTAGTTGGATGTGATTAGCGACGGAGGGAGTATGATAGTTTAGCAATACAAGCATGTCAAGCAGAGGCTGGTGTGAGTCCATCATCTGCAGCGTCATGGATTACGGATAAAAGCCTGCTGACTTTGCTGTGGTTTAGTGCGCGCGTGCATGGAGATGACCAGATGACAGCAGATTAGCAGGCAGAGTCCCAAGCCAGCAGCAGAGCCAGAGTCCACTAAATCTGTTGAGCGTACGTGTCTTCTTCATCCACCCATGACGTCCAGTGCTCCAGGCTGCTGCCTGCCTGCCTGCGTTTTTCTTGATCCTTGGGGATTCTCTGCTCAGCTCTGGGCTCTGGCACTGCCTGCCGACAAAAAAACAAAAAACAAAAAGGGCCTGTCCACTTGGATGGGCCATTATTATTGAGGCCCATCCAAACAAGGTAAATCATGAGATAGGCTAATTTGCCTCCTCCTCGGAATAAAGTCATTCTTAGGCCCTGTTTCTTTCAGCTTGGGATTATTATAATCTAGATTATTAAGTCAGATTACTATAAGTTAGATTGTTATAATCTGTAGTAGAATAAGCGGTTAGTTGTTTCTTTCCTAGATTATTAGAGCCTAGATTATTGGGTTTGTAAGTCTAAAAAGGGAGTGGGGTGGCATGGTGGGTAATTTTTCATCCAATAATCTGGAAAAAGCTCACCTAAATGAGCTTATCAGATTATAATAAGCTGGGCTCCAGATTATAATAAGCTACTTCAATAAGTTGTCTGTTTCTTTCAGCTTACTCCTAATAATTTGTATTATAATAATCCCAAGCTGAAAGAAAACAGGGCCTTAACCTCTCACGGTTGTTTTCAAATAAATTCATTTTTAGCAGTCATTACATCAAAGTTTATAAAGAATAGAGAATAAATATACTGAGAGTAGGCAAAGTGCTGAATAATTGCATTGCGATTCGATAAGTTGGAGTATTTTAGTATTTGTCGTTTTATGTTGGTATACGTAGGATGTGTGAAAAATGATTTTACATTTTATAACGGATGATGTAGATAGCACTAAATTGCTAACGGTACAAGGAAATGGCGGTGGCTTTGGGGCCTTCAAGACGGTGGAGGCTGTACCGTAATATGGAGTATTTGGGCCAAATATATATTGGGCCGGGCCGAGTTTTGTTCTTCCACAAAGCCGTCGTGGTTATTTGCTGCTAACCTCAATTCAGCAGATGAAATCATCAACATCATGTGGCCGTGCCACTTTGCTTCCTCCATACTTAACATTCTGCATTCTAGCTCCATCCATTGCCTTTGATTTCTTCTGCACCAAATCTCATCATATCCAATCTACTTTCTTACCGTACAGTTACACACGTAATCCATCCATTCTTATAAAAACCTAACCTTGTTAGGGGATGAGACTTAATCTAGTACAATGAATTTGAATAATCCTCTATCTAGATTTCTCATACTAGATTGTGTCCTGTTTTTTAATTAGGTTGGGTTTTTTTAAACCAAAGGGAGTATCTATAAAGATCGAGCTTCATCGTAGCGTCTCAAAAAGCTTTCAAACTATATACTAGCAGAATTATCCAATAGCAAAACCGTTCTTTTCTTAGAAAAAAAAATACAGCCAAAAAGAGCTTTCCCAACCAAATTGGTTTTGAGTCGTTGGATTTCAAACGGACGCCTCGGATTAGCGCGCGTTCGGTGCGGGAGACGTTCCAATTTCCACGCAACCCGAGGATGACAATGACATGTGGACCCCAACTGCTACTCTTGCGCTGCGTGCACACGTGGAGCGAGTTGCTGCCACGCGCGTGCCACTTGTCATGTGTTCGGCGTCGGGCCCACACGTGGCAGGTCTTGTTCGTTTGTACCGTGACCTCCTCTGCTTTTTCAGCTACTCTAGCTGTCTAGCACAGAGCAGAGTAGACAGAGACCAACTCATCGCTGGGACACGTCACCTTCCTTTCTATGCTCTCTTGATGAAACCATCTCTCTCTCTCTGTGTGCAAAAAATCGAGTTACACAGAGAAGGCATATGAGATAATTGTTTGACCTAATTAGGGAAATGAACAGCAGTAAAATGCATCCATCATAAGCACGCCAAAACATCATCTGATGAGTTTACTTCCATTTTATTTTTATTTTTTTCCCTGATGAATGGTGTTTACTTCACTTTGCTCGTTTACTTCGATCGGTCTCGCCAATCCTACCAGAAGAAGCTAAAAACGGCCTCTCTTTAGAAATAGGTGAATGCCTCAGCCTCATCTGAGCAATGAACACAGAATCTCGACCGATCAAGGAAAAATGTTCTTTTCTGAACTTGTCTTCTCTGCATCCTTTCCTTGCCGCCGGCCAATTTATTGACTCACCGAGAAGTTTGATAAGTACAAGAGAATAACAAAATAACATGGTTGTTGTGCAGTCTTTTTTTTTGCTTCTTCTTCTTAAACAGATTCTTTTCATCTTGAGCCATTGTTGATCTTTGCTCCTCTGGTCGTCAACTCTTTTCTCCTGTTTCAGGGCGTAGGACGGAGGAGGAGATGAGAAAAACAAGAACACTTCCAGCTCTGAATTTCACTCTGCATGCATAAGTTGCAGGATTAGGCTGATTGCAGAAGATTCGGTGAGTTGTTTGACACTCGAGAGAACTTGGTTTGTTTTGAATTTCGGTCTGTTTATTTGACCTGTTCTTGTACCTGAAACTTGAAAGACTCCGAGTAAGAGGGGAGTAAACGAGTGATAAGCCCCGCGATTTGTTAGCGGCTGTTTTTCAGCTAACCATCTTTCAATTTCTGTACTGGTTTGTCAGTGACTTCTGCATGTGGCTGTGTTGTGCGACTACCTTGGTCCTTCCTGATTAGTGATGGGGTTTAGCGCATGGTAATCTGTTTAATGTGCATGCATGCCGATGATCTTTCATGTAGACTGTATATTCCTGTGCTTAGAAGCCATCTGTGGATCAAATCCATGTTGTCTTCCAAGCAATTAGCTCATCTGTGATTTGATTTGTACTTTACTCTTTGGGAAGAATTTTTTTGTCTTTATAGCTTTTCTTGCATGAATTCCATTCCATGATGCATTTGGTGTTTCTTGATTGGAGGCAGTGTTTGAATGCAAGGGTCAGGTTGCGCTGGTAGGTATCTGAGGAATTCAGGAATTGAGGATGATGAGTAATGGCCACAGCAACAGCAGCAAGAGCCTTGAAAGGTTTATATCTCGGAGGGCTCTGCAGATGGGGAGCTCTGCTCCCTGCAAGACATGGGCACTGGGCTTCTTCTGTGGTGTCTGCATTGTGTACCTGTTTGGTGTTGCTCTCCCACCTATCCAAATCCTGATGATCCGATCGGTACATCCACCGGTTCGGCGAGCAATCTTGTTGAATTCAACATCAACTGAACCTGGTATTTTGCGAACACCATTTCGCATAAAAAATTCAGTAGTAGTGTAGTACTATATGTTCATCTAGGCTGAATGTATTTTTTCTTTTCCTTTTAGCTGTGACAATGTCTGTGTAACCAGCTTCTTCCATGCAGGTGGAGCTACAGAAACAGATGACTTATCTGTTTTACAAGAAAAGATAGAAATAGCCACCAATAGCAAGGACATCAATGAAGCTGATAAAATGCATTTGTATAATGCTTGGAGCACTTTACTGGATACGACCAGTGATGAAGTTATGAAAAGTTCAGACGTGCCGCGGCCGCCTCATCTGGAGAATTGCAGGCTTAAATGGGAAAGAAATAAGAAATTTGACAGTTATAGCGACAACGGCGTATTTCCTCCTTGGACATTATGGAAAGGGTCACTTGGTCTTGAGTTATTCAACCAGAACTATTCAGATTCAGAAGAGTGGAGGCAAATGTTTTTCAGGTCAAATGCTAAATCTGACAGGGCGCCATATCCACCTTGGGTGTGTAAACTTGCCTGAACTCGTAATTGTCTTGTCAGTACTACTATGAATGCAGTATTCTAACTTTTGAGTTACAACAAAACTTTAAAGATTGCAGGATCAGATGAAGAAAACTATCCACTGACCAGACAAGTGCAGAGAGATGTATGGATTCATCAACATCCTCCAAACTGCAGTGATCCAAGCTTGAGGTTTCTCTATGCAGACTGGGAGAGGCTACCGGGATTTGGTATAGGTGCGCAACTCGCTGGAATGTCGGGACTTCTTGCTATTGCTATAAAAGAGAGAAGGATTCTAGTTGCAGGATACTACAACCGTGCTGATCACAATGGTTGTAAAGGTAGGAACAATCCAGCTTACCTTGTAGATTATGAATTGATAATATGATATGTGTAGTGCTACCTCAAGTTGTAACTTTTAACTGACATGATAACTGAGATAACTGTCAATGTTCAATTTTCAGGCCTAGCAAGATCTAGCTGGTCATGCTACTTTTTACCTGAAACATCTGCAGACTGCCAGAAACGTGCTTTAGATCTCATGCAAAGCAAAGATTCTAGGGAAAATGGAATTATAAAAGTTAAGGAAAACTATACCTCCAAGCAAATATGGGCTGGGCATATACCTAGGTACCATTTCGATGCGCTGGTCCTGTTTCTGGAAAGCTAAACACGCACCCAATACTGATGAGCTATACACATTTACTCCCTCCGTTCCTAAATATTTGACACCGTTGATTTTTTAAAACATGTTTAACCATTCGTCTTATTCAAAAAATTTAAGTAACTATTAATTCTTTTCCTATCATTTGATTCATTGTTAAATATACTTTTATGTATACATATAGTTTTACATATTTCACAAAGTTTTTTGAATAAGACGAATGATCATGTTTAAAAAAGTCAACGGCGTCAAATATTTAGGGACGGAGGGAGTATATCTCATTCATCGCTCTGTTCTTGTGGCTCTTGCCGATTCATGCACATGTTTTCTGAAACCTGCTGTTATGCAGGATATGGGGGAGACCATGGAAATATATGCAACCGACAACAGAGATAGATGGGAGATTGGTTAAAAATCATTGTAAAATGGATCGGAGATGGTGGATTGCACAGGTGTGTACCTCATGCCAAGATGAATGATGAGCATATTTTGTGCTATTCATAATGGGGATGCAAATATGCTTCATCAACCTGAAACTTCCATGTAGGCCCTGAGATACCTAATGAGGTTCCAGTCAGAGTACATGTGCAGATTACTGAATGTGGCTAGACATTCAGCATTTGGCATGCAGGCAGCAAAGATGGTTCTTGAAAATGTCCCAGATCCACCAAAGGTTTGTATTAGCAATCTGAAGATTTTTATGTTGCTTTGTTCCGTGGAGAGTTTTGTCTGCGCATCATTCGGATAAAGCAACATTAGCACTAACCACCTTACTTTTTTAGATAAGTAACTGAAAGATTTCACAATTGCAGCCTAGCATTAGCAGAACAGAATCTGACATTGAGCGACTTGTGTGGTCGGAGCATAAACCATATATACCCGGGCCTCTTATCAGTATGCATGTAAGGATGGGAGATAAAGCTTGTGAAATGGAAGTAGTTGGCTTTGAGAAATACATGGAGTTGGCTGGTCGTCTTCGAAAACGTTTTCCAAGTCTCAAGAACATCTGGCTTTCTACTGAAATGCAGGCAATTTAACTCCTCAATTCTCATCCCTCGTATGGTGTAAATTAATTTCTTCATTTCATTGGTCTGTAATTTAACTCTGCTAATGCTGAAATGTAGGAAGTTATCGACGAAACAAAATTATATCCCAAATGGAATTTCTATTTCACAAATGTGACGCGCCAAGATGTCAATGTGAGCATGGCAATGTATGAGGCCAGCCTGGGCCGTGAGACCAGCACAAACTATCCCCTTGTCAATTTCATCATGGCCACTGAAGCAGATTTCTTCATTGGAGCCCTGGGATCAACCTGGTGCTACCTCATCGACGGCATGCGGAACACCGCAGGAAAGGTGATGTCTGGCTATCTGTCGGTGAACAAGGACCGGTTCTGGTAAGCAATTCAGAAGCTGCTAAACCTTGTTCATTGTATTTTAGCTCCTCTGAATAGATATGTTTGGCCTAAGTTTGCTTCTGTACGGCAATAGGGCATGTATATATGCACCATCCTAGCAGATAACTTTAGCGTGTGAAACTTCTGAGCTAATAGGAAAACAGTATCGTTATATCAAATCAGGTCCATATATTTTGATCTGGTATCCACTTAATCCTAGATATATATTATCCTGAGGTCCAGTGTACCCAAGAAAAAAGAGGATGCACTTACCAAATTTTCAGTGGTACTCATAATGCTGATAAGTGGTACACGAGAGATCCAATTGCAGAATTTTATAGTAGTATGACAGTAACAGCTATGCCATGTAAAAGAAATTGACACACAAGTTTCCTGTAGAACATCGGTTTCAAAAAAAAAAAGTTTCCTGTAGAACAACCAGGGCATTCTCCTCTTTGTCAACCATTTGATTTGTTGAAGACATGACCCAAAAAATCCAGTGAACTTTGATGAATACACATATTCACTAATCACTAGCCTTTCTCTCTATTTTTTTTAAAAGTACCTTTACGGTGGTCTGTACTAGTAGTGTTTTACTACTAGCATTATCATCATTAGAAATGACCTCAACCATTGATTTATGAGATCTACTACCAGAAATTGGATTTGAAAAGATGAACTTTCTAGATTTTTTTCGGGAATACGCAAAAGGATTACGCACTTTTGTATTAAGAGGAATAAAATTTACACAAATGGCAAACAAAGAAGAGAGAGAGAGAGAGAGAGAGAGAGGAGAGGAGAGGAGGGGGGGAAGGGAGGAAGAAAAGGAAAACAAGGACTTAAGCCTATTCTCGCGATTACATTGTGACGACCGAACGACCAAACGACCAAACATGCTAACTAGGAAGCGCTGGCAACGGGGGATGGGCAAGACGCCAAAGGATGGCCTCTTACGCCATGGCTGCGACAACCTCAGGCTAGGGCCGGGAATGGTTGTCGAACACATGGTTGTCCCTTTTCATTCCAAATAGACCAACCGCCAAGAGTCACAATCGTGTTGAACCCACGACGATGCTCCCTCGGAACTTTGAGCCGACAGGAGCAGTGCCACTCAAAGAAGGAATCAGCGTCAGAGGGAAAGCACTGAGGGAGGCCGGGGCTTGAAAGGACAGTCCACCACAGCTATAGGGACTCAAGGCACCCAATCAGAATGTGATCAACTGTTTCTTCCAGTTGGTCACAAAAGACACAATAGGTTGGGTGCGGCAGGCCACGCTTCTCCAATCGGTCAGTCGTCCAGTAGCGCCAGTGAGCGACCAGCCACAGGAAGTAGCGACGTGACACTGAGGTGGGGCAAAAGAGCGCCAGATTGGTAGGTGCTGAAACGAGATCCTGCCCGAGAAGAGGGCAAGGTAAGCTGATCGGGTGGAGTACGACCCCGAACTCTCCCACCTCCAGTTGAAAGAACCAAGATGGCCCTCTGAGAGAGTCGTTGTCCGCAGCAACGACCAAATCTGCAAGTTTTGCAGTATTGCATGAACTGTCTAGATTGATTCTACTACCAATAGAGACCACTGTAAAACTCCACCTTTTTTTTACATAATGGAAGTATTGTTTGTGGCCTCTACATCAACTATGATGCACATGGCCATATTATGGACACCAGGATTTTAACCCTAGTGGTAAGAATCACGCACCCACGACTCCACCACCACACCAATGGTGCTTCAAATAAATGGATCATTTCGACAAAGTTCCAATGACAGATGAGAATGTTGAACTGGCCATTTCTATATGGAGAAAGGAACACTGTAGCATGAACCTATGCACTAAGAATTGTGCTCTACAAATTTTCTTTAGCCAACCTTTTCCAAGTCACCCTACATGAGTAGATGACATGTAATACTTTACCTCCTTTTGTTCTTCTCCTAATAAGGTACCATTCTCTAGTGCTTCCATTTGCGATTCCTGGCCAAGAGTGATGCACTAGTTTCTTCTCAACAACCCATCCATCCAGTCACTGCTTCTTAGAGATGGATGGATCCTGAAACTCTGAAAGGGACACTGTAACAGTGCCCTGAAGAAAAGGAACAATGAACTTCTCGTGGCATACATCGTATATAATGAGTGCAACACATCACAATGCCAAGGTAGTGGACATGAGCACATCGCATTTCAGCTTGCTCCCCACTTCCAAAGATTCCTTCTGAATCCTATCAGCTTCTACCATGGATCAAGCCCCAGGGGGCTCTCTCCCCTTGGACACCATGGAATGAGAACTGTGCGCACGCGCAATGGCGATCGCGCCTTCGGTGGGGCGGTTCTTGGAGCCCTGGTGACTCCATTGACCTGATGATTTCAAGTTGGATGATTTTTGCAAATGCAATCAGTATTTGGCAATGGTTTGTGTTGTGGTTGTTACTGTATGCAGTGGATGCAGATGTATGAAGTTTAGCAGCAGTAAAAATGCACTACTGCATGGTTGATCATTGCTTGGCCTCAATGGCTCAATGTTAGGTATCAGAATTCAGAAAGTGGTATATTCTGATGGATATATAGTATATGGATGCCATGCATCCTTATCTGAAGTCTAGGAGGTAGAGTTACTATAGTAGTAGACGAGTAGTGCCCTAGCAATGCATGGAACTTGTGTGCATTTTTGGATGATTATTGTGAGGCAAAACTGTAGCAAAAAATGGGTTTAGACATGGGATAAGAGAGTGCGTTCTCTGTAGTGCAGAGTGCATCTTCTGACTTGGAATGCAGATTAGAACACTAACAGTTGTATCATCACTTCAGTCAAAAAACACTTGTATTATTACCAGGTATGACGCATGACTCATCTGGAACATATTCTTGAAAGATGCAGCATCATTCAAAAGGAAGTCAACCGGTTAGTGCATTATCTCCAAATTTTTGTTAAAAACAGGAAATCCGATACTAAAAGGTAGTGAGAGGAGGCTTCATGCTGCTGACGAACCGTGCAAAGCACCAAAAACAGTTGCAGTCACCATGGACAAGACTCATGGTCAGCAAACTGCAGAAAAACAACGCATTTCCGGCAAAAACTTCTTCCGGCTTCAGTCTGAAGGCCGAGAACAAATCTGCTACGAACACATCCAACTCCAAATCGTGACCATCAGTCTGAATCGCATATTAGAAAAAAAAAAGAGGAGAAAATACATAAAAGAAAAGAAATAAAGAAGAGAAAGCTGCTTTTCTTGTTTCTCTTTACAGCTGAAAACCGCTCTCGTCTGCAACTTTTTCGTGTATCATCAGAGCATCCAAAAGGAGGAGAATTGCCCCAGACAAATTGTGAGGATCAGAGGGAAACAACCAGACACACACATACACAGACGCATCGTTATGGGAGACGTCAGCCTCCACCACCTGCACTGCACTGGCTAATTTTGATCACTGAATTAAGCACACACACCCCTACTAACTAATCTTTCTGAAACACATAGCAATTGAGCATCACAGTCCCTACGGTAGAGATCATTCGCATTGTTTAATTTAAGAGCAATTTTATGAAGAGGTTCTACGAGGTATTAAATTTTACTCTAAATTTTTTTGTATCTCATGGTAACTCCTCAAGTACTGTAAAATTGCTCTTGATTTAATGGATCATACATTTTTATGCTACCACCTTAACAACTGGTAGTAGAATTCATCAATCGATAGTTGAGATCACTGCTACTAGTGATAGTTCTAACCGCAGTAAAAGTACTTAATATTCAATGCCCTGTTCTCTGGCATTAAAATCAAATCAGCAGATCATTTTAGGATCTTAGGGATTTGGAATTCATAAATCTATATGATAGTGACCTATTTTTGCCCACTAATTCTTTCTTTCCCATGTCAATGTCCATGAGCTGCAGGAACAATAGGGATCACCTAGCAGCACACCAACTTGTGCACTGCCCACTTAGGACTTTGGTTGCAAATATACACATTTTTTTTCAGATAATGAAATGTATACATTTTATACATCATCATCTGCTCTTATAAAGTAGCACTTCTCTCCACTTAGATCCTACATATGTGCGATGATAAATCACTTTATGGAAAAGGATTGGCAGGGCGATGTTTAATTTTTTGATGAACAAAACAAAGGTCGGCATAAATGGACCTGAAAGTAGAAAAAAAAGCTTCTAATCACAATAGCCTGGATTAGGAAAACGCCAGCCATACGCTCATCTTTTTATCATCAAATTAAAGCCAAATGCAGTGACCATTTTAAGATCACATTATGCACTTTCTTTATTAAAAAAAAAGATGTGCCAAAAAACATAGTATTATTGTATAAAAGATTACATAATTAATTGGGTCCACCTGAAATTTCTTTTCGTACACGATATAGAATCTACCACTTCGAGCTTTTCCTAAAGCTAGCGTAGATAGAGATATGCAAACTGTAAAATCACTTAGCAAAGTAATCCCACATAACTTCTCAGACTAATTATCTCTTGAGAAAGAAAACTTGAAACAACTTGCATTGTAGTAGACAATCATATATGAAGCGACTGATATGACAGATTAGTAGTACAATTCAGACAGATTAGTGGTACAATTCAGTGTCCAATTTGCCGCTCGTCGTGAAAAACATTAATTCGATGAAATGAAAGCTTAATTAATCAACCAAAAGATGGCTTTGATATCATCATATGGTTTGCATCGTGGATCCCATTGAGCATTGATCGATCTTTGTCACACATCTCTGATCATCTGTCAGAAACGTACAAGACTCTCCCAGATCACAGCACGTTTATCCGGATCAACTCCTGAAAAGATGCACATTCCTTGGTGGAATATCTTTGCGCACGTAAAAGTTCATATACATACGTGAAGATTACAAACTCATTAATTACGTGCTAACTAGTAATTAATTAGTAAAATCAATCCGGACACACTAGAACACTAGAACATCATGTAATTCAGAAAGCAACGCTGGTTTAATTTCTCACTGACAAATTGCTGCACTTGACACTTGTCACCCTCAAATCTTTCATATTTTGCACATTTTTGTTGTGATTCCTTTAGCTAATTCTGCTCTGTTACTTATAAAGTACAGTCATTGTGCACAATTAGCTTAGCTCCATTACTCAGAAGTATGCAGCCATTTCAGTCCAATCAGTTGTGCATTATGCGAAGCAAAATTTAACTATAACTTTGTATGTTCTATTCCTATCCAAGATACCAAAATTAATAAACTAAAGTGCAATTGAGAGAGAGATGCCCGATTAGCCACAGGTTTCTTAGTGCTATCTGAACTTACGCACTATATCATTCTGCAAACAAACGATGCGTGCACGGGTTAAAACT